TCTGCCTGTAACTCCTGCCTGCTGTCTGCCTGTAGCTCCTGCCTGCTGTCCTGGCTGCCTGTAACTCCCGCCTGCTGTCCTGTCTGCCTGTAGCTCCTGCCTGCTGTCCTATCTGCCTGTAACTCCTGCCTGCTGTCTGCCTGTAGCTCCTGCCTGCTGTCCTGTCTGCCCGTAACTCCTGCCTGCTGTCTGCCTGTAGCTCCTGCCTGCTCTCCTGTCTGCCCGTGACTCCTGCCTGCTGTCCTGGCTGCCTGTAGCTCCTGCCTGCTGTCCTGTCTGCCTGTAGCTCCTGCCTGCTGTCCTATCTGCCTGTAACTCCTGCCTGCTGTCTGCCTGTAGCTCCTGCCTGCTGTCCTGTCTGCCTGTAACTCCTGCCTGCTGTCCTGGCTGCCTGTAGCTCCTGCCTGCTCTCCTGTCTGCCCGTGACTCCTGCCTGCTGTCCTGGCTGCCTGTAGCTCCTGCCTGCTGTCCTGTCTGCCTGTAGCTCCTGCCTGCTGTCCTATCTGCCTGTAACTCCTGCCTGCTGTCTGCCTGTAGCTCCTGCCTGCTGTCCTGTCTGCCTGTAACTCCTGCCTGCTGTCCTGGCTGCCTGTAGCTCCTGCCTGCTCTCCTGTCTGCCCGTGACTCCTGCCTGCTGTCCTGGCTGCCTGTAGCTCCTGCCTGCTGTCCTGACTGCCTGTAGCTCCTGCCTGCTGTCCTGTCTGCCTGTAACTCCTGCCTGCTGTCCTGTCTGCCCGTAACTCCCGCCTGCTGTCCTGACTGCCCGTTTTTCTGCCGCGCTCTGCCGCCGGGTCAGCCCAGGGACGGGTGTCCTTCCGCCTCGGCCGTGCCGCGCTGTCGTCCGCCCGCCGCCGCGCCGGCCGGCCGTGGTTCTGTGTCAGGGTCACTCGGCCGCTAACTGGACCGTGGGTGTGGGAGCCCGGAAGGGCTGTCCGCCCGCTGCCCGGGCACACCGACTGCGCGCCGGGCGGGGAGTGGGTTCAGCGGCTGGGACGGAGTTCAGCTGCTCAGCGGGACGGGCCGACCCCTCGCCCCTCCTCACCGCGCCCCTGGGGAAACCCGGCCACCCATCCGTCAGCTTCAGAAACCGAGTGCACCTACAAGATGCTTGAGCAGATTTGCGCCGACATATTTCCATCGATATGGCCTAATGGAATACGCATTTGACCTTGTAGGGTCTGGCCGTCAGTTTGCTGTGATAAATAGCCGGGATGATGTCAGCCCGCCGCCGCTGACGGATTATCGATGAGCTCCGAGATGCAGCATGGAGAGACGGCCGCCGCCGGCTCACCGTTATACTCCGCAACATCCGACGAGCGGCCGCCACCGCGTGATGCAAGACGGAGCTCACAGTCGGACGGTCCATTGTCTGAGTCGGGCGCAGGCTGACGGCTCATTGTCTGAGACGGCAGTCCACTTCGTGGGACTGTTACTGGTGCTACATTCACCGCAGCTTATGTCGATTTTGTTGAGCTGGGTCATTTGTTAGACATTGTTTGGACATTGGACCTTGTTGTCGGACTTAGTGGAGGGAAGCGCTCCATATTCTATAGCTAGGTGTGCTCGACGTCCCGTTCTATACAGAATGGCGTCCTCTCGTCCCCTCCCCCTCCCCTTCATGTATAGTTATCTCCACACTCTCTCTGATGTGTGCGTTTGTTTCGAGGCTCTCTCATGCCGGAGATGTGTCCCTCCCTCCCATACCTGGGATGTATGCCCCGCCGTCCCATACCGGAGGTATGTCCGGGCCGTCTCCGGACCGAGGCGGGCCTGTCCGAACCGTCTCATACCGGAGCTGTCCCCCCCTGTCCAGCGGGGCCGGGTGTGTCCGGAGGTGTGTCCGGGTCCCCTCTCCGGCCGGCTGCCCCTGTCACGGCCCGCCGGTCCGGAACGCCGCCCGGATCTGCATCCTCCTACCACGGCCGGCTATGACAGCTGCCGGTCGTGTCCCCGCAATCCAATACCAGCCGCCGTCCACTCCAGGCCTCGGGCAGGGGCCGTCTCAATGTGTCAGTGCAATGGACGCAGCGAGCCCCTTCTCCTAAGCCATGGAGCGCTTCAAGTGATTTACAGAAACAACTGAAAGTAAGAGATCAGAATCAGATCCATGTAAGCCAAACGATTTGAAAGTGATTTATAACAGTGGCTTGAATCAGTCACTTTAGCATCGAGCGGGATAGCTAGGTGCCAATGAGAGAGTGTTTCGAGTAATCAATACTTCATACGGCCTCGCTAAATATTCGCAACATCTGTGAACACGGAGGCGGATGCGAGAAGGGACGGACGCAGACGCGGACGCCGAGACGGAGACAGAAGCGGAGACAGAGGCGGAGGACGGGCGCGGAAAACGAGACGGAGGTGGAATGTTGTGACGGATGCTCCCGGATGATCGGCCGCCGGGTTTTCCAGAGCGACATTTTGTTTGCCGGCTGTGGCAGCTGTTATGCGCTGCCGGTTCACAGGTATGCGCGACGGCAGTGCAGTCGTGGCCGTGCTGCGGGCGATACGATCGGATATTGACGTCAGGACGGACCGTCGGCAGCCGGGCAGTCTCAGATCCGTGATATCCAAATGGCGCCTGCCCGCACGGCTCAGTTTGATGACACTAGTTAGTTGTACCCAGGGTAGGTACTAAAAAGTCGTACCCTTTTTAATTTTCATGTCATATGTTACACATGCAGGATCATCCTTACATGGTGTATGGGTAAGCCTTGGTAAATATGCTGAATTTATTTTGAAGCTTACCTATTTACATGTGCATATTTCATAAAAGCGGTAGTCAGCCTCGCCCAGACTTGAGACTACCACCCGAAGTTTTTTTTTATCCCTTTGCATTGCTCTTCAAACCAGAAGGATTAAAAATATTTTTGAACTGTTAGGTACCTTCCTTTATATAAAAATTAACTGTATTCAGCCTAGAGTTTCTGAGACATGACGTCATTTTCATGGTCAATGGACTGGTCATGTTATGGTGACTTAGTCACGGGATAGCCGCTACTCTGCTAGGAAAATTCATCGGTTAATGGTGCGACGCTTAATTCACGAGGGAGATCACGCTTAACCCGTGACCTATTGGGAAGGGGGAGGCAAAGAGCCATCCAAAACCACAGGGGATCCAAGGGCCCCTCTATGGCTTTTGCTGATAACTCGGAAACGGCCGCGAATTTGGACTCGAAATTTTCAGTACCTCTCCGTACCTACATTAATTTCACATAACCCCTGAAAAAATTAGGTCTTATGTATATCATCTCAGATCACCAGTTATAGAGGTCAAACTGAGGTCATATTCGGCCATTTTTGGTCGAAAATGTGTTCATGGAAAAAAAAAATCGCAGAAAATCAGCATATCAACGTAGAGACTCAAAAATTAAACCGTAGATACAAAAAGGCATGGGAAACAAATGCTATCTCGAAATTTCAAATGTTTAAAAATCTCAAGATCTTTAGTTTTCCTTACTCAAAATTTATCTTTCTTGAGATTTTTTTTATTTGGAGAAATAAAAAACGAACATATGTCAGAGAACACTTAACTGCCTTTATACATGCCAAAACCAATAATATATAGGCATCTAAAACTCCTTCAGATATAGCCATTTGAAAGACTTGAAATATAGTGACTGTTCGTATGACGTCACATTATTTTCTGTATTTGTGCTTAAAATCAGTCTAGGGTAGCATTTATGATACATATCCATCTCTTCCTGACTAAAGATGCGCGTTGTTGTCTCTTTTACGTGATAAATCACTTACAGAATAATGTTTGTCAGTGTAAACCAGTACACCGGTGGCGGTACCTACAATTTTACTTTTTTACCTTCCTATGACGTCATAGGTCCAAGAAAATTGTTAAAGAGGTTTCTGTGGCTGCATATGTATGACATGCCTTCATAAAGACTCGAATATTGACAATTCACAGCATGCCGTTCAATACGATTCACGCAAGTGTCTTCTGATTGGTCGAGACTGACCTCTGTTATGACCTCACAGGCTGTCATCCATTCTATCTATCCACTATCCTAACTATCCACGTGCCAGGTCTATGATATACATCATGTCCAGACCCATACCTACATGTCTTTATATGACCGACTTCTCGTCAATGTAACTTGGGTAGAATTTACCTTGTTTGACCTTTCTGTATGTCATAGGTCAAATATCGAGGTCATCGATATCGTACCTTGTGCATCTCGATGAACTCTTTCGAATGCCGTTTGAATTTTTCCGATCCGACAATTGGTTCCGGAGATGCGACGGGGGCCTTTGGGCCCCCTCTACAGGACCTGGACCCTGCCTGACCTCAACGGGACACGGGCTAATGATCTCCTTTGCTTCAAATTCGCTGCCGGCTCGGATTTTCTTTTACAATGGCCTCTGGTCTCGGCGTTGGACGTAGGTAGTCGATGTACTGACACACACGATAGACCCATGCATATCTACGTATTACGTAACGCTAACACAATTTAGCTCATTAGTAAACCAAGTGTTTATGCTGACTTTGTTCTCAACAGAAACGCAACAAAAGGGAGGCGCGCTTGAAAACGTGTTTTGTTGCCCGAAGGCCTGAGATCCGTGCCAAGATAATCATGCGGTGTTTCGTCAAACGCTGCTCGCTAAGATAATCCGAAGACATGTATCTGCCTTAGAAATGCTTATCAAGGAGGCACGCGACGTTACTTGGAAATACTCCGGCCTAGCTGGTAAAATCCGATTTCAGAGTATAGGTACTTCCGCATGGATCCACTAATACCGACGCGCTGGGCTGGGTTGTTCCACTAATCTGTCTGCGTGTGACGTGCCCTGAGCTGCACTCGTCTTCCGCGAAATCCGCCACATATGAGATCATCCGAGTGCGCGAACCCTGCCGTCAATGTCTCGGTGTGTCGGTGTCGGTCGTCAGCCCCCCTCCCCCCCCCCGTCCCCGCGGCGCCGGTCCGTAGCGTTCGCACGTGCCGGGCGCCCCTGCTCGGCGGCGGCGGCGGCGGCCGGCAGTCGGTGCCGAGACGTCCCGCCGAGAGGTCGTGTCTCGAGAGCTGGTCTCCGGTGAGGGAAGCGTGTCGGCGCAACTGTGACCGAGAGGGGAGACCGAGACTGACAGCTGACTGACAGCAGGAGGCCAGCCGAGCAGGGACGCGCCCCTCTGCTCCCACGCCCCACGGAGTCGTGCTGCGGTCAGTGTCGCTCAGGACTGTCTGACCGGTCAGCGGGTCAGATCAGCCGAGTGCCGGCGCTCGGTGCGTGCCGCTGGGTGCTCCGGTGACCGGCCGGCTGAGGAGGCGGCACTCGGCCAGCGGCGGCCATGGCGCGGACACTGGAGCTGCTGCTGCACTGCTGGACGCTGGCCGCGCTGTGTGTGACCTTCACGGCAGCAGGTGAGATGATGTGGCCGTACGGCGGCCCCGACCGCGCTCCATTGCACCCGAGGGGCCCGCCTTATCAAATCTGCCATTCACTACGTGTACCGAGTGGTAGCCGAGGACGGGCCGGCCCACATACTCGTAATCGCACCAGCCGAGAGACGTGCGCGCGGGTGGGGTAGCGCAGGTATGAGGGCGGAGGGACGCCGTGATAAACATTGCAGAGAGCTAGCTCATAACGCGCATTCATCGTCTTTTAATCCCACTGGTCGTTTCTGAAGTAGGTATTCAGTTTCGAATAACCCGTTTCGTCTAAATATTTTGAACTAAGTACTAAACCTGTCAAATATTGTGTCATAAGCGCCTCCCGATACTACCGTTAGTGTTTTTTTTTTTTTAATAAGCCAGCCTTTTTCGCATCACCATTGCTTAATTGACGCTGTATCCGCATTGACAAAGGTCTGTGGCATTTATGGTACGGTGTAATTGCAAGTAACCCAAGAATCAAACAAAATTAGCAAAAATTCATTTTTGATTTCATCCGCTCCTTTTTGAATTGGTATAAGCAAGAAAGAACTTCAAATATTAGTTACGTGTTTTATCCTCTCAGCCAGCATCCACTTTAGCCATCTAATGGCGCTCCATGAAGCGCAGTCACTGCCGTAGCAGAGCTTACATTTATCATTGTCCCACCTCCTCGTGGCCGGGGCTGCCGTTTTTGGAGGTGTTGGTTCGGCAGTACGTCGGCCCGATTTATGGGTCTGCTGGGGCCCCGCCCGCCCGACCACCGCGGGTCGTTCACAGCACGGCCGGGCGATGCTCCCGGCCCAGCGACCAGCAAACAGAGCAGTCCAGTGCCCTGGCCTGCACTCATCACGAGCGTTCACGGGGGAGGGGTCCTCCGGCCTCCAGGGAGGGGTCCACGCTCATTACAGTCGGCCGTGAGTCGTTCTTCGGAACGGTGCGACGCGTTACCTTACATAAAGCCAGCGACGCAGCGGACGGTTACATAATAGAGTTGTTCTTTGCTGTGAGATCGGCTACCGTATGGGAATGACTATTAGCGGTGTAATTAATGTAATAGGAGTATGCAGATCAGCACAGAGGGTTCGATATCAGTGGGACGGAGGCCGGCCGACGGGCTCCAGCGGACACGGGGCGCCCGGTCGGCGGCGGCGCTCAAGGCTGGCCTGCTGTCCTCGGCGGCGGTCGGCGCGCGGCACCGGTCAAACGGGGGCTGATGGAGCTCAGATAATCACGGCAGACGGCCGCTCTGCCGGCGCCGCGCGCGGCGGAGGGCCGTCCGAGGCACCCGCCGACCGCCGACTCCACGGAGAGCCGAACGACTATATTACCCGGGTATGGCGCCCCGACCTGCCGTGTCACCGGGCAGCTGCAGACGACCTTGCCAATAGTGCCGGCGTCGCCGTGTCTCGGCGGCACTGATTGGTCGTTTGGTGTGAGAGCGAGGCCGTGATTGGTTGCTGGTACGCCGGCCTCCGTCACCGGCCGGAGGAATGCACTGGCCGCAGGCTATGGCCGTTCAACACAGCTCATTGGCACCCGATTGTAAAAATAGTTCACCTCACCCGGGAGAGCTGACTGGGACGACACGTCTGCTCTGAAACCGGTCCATCACCGGGTCAGGCCCGTTCCTGCAGGCTGCGGTCAGGGCTGTCAGAAAACGTGACAATCCGCCGATTAGGCTGGCGTCCTGATGGCGTTAATGGTTTGTTGAGTGGAGATTATTGCCGATCGCTGCCACATCGTGAGCGATAAAACATAGTTACGGCACTACACCGCCGCCTGACGCTCATAACCACTGGCTACTAACTCAATTTGTGGCCCATTATGACGATCGTAAGCTGTAAACGAGGGAATATGTTTATATGTAGGCTAAAGGAAAGTATAATAAGGGACGTGTCCTTGTCCTCTAATTAGAGCATGACATTTCTCCGGCAACACATGGTACAAAGCCAATAGCACACCTATTGCAAATACTTGCGCGATGATTGGCTTGTAAGAGGACTTCTATTCAAGTAAAAAGCTACTCTATTACCCTACCTATATTTGCAACCACTTGAGACTGCAATCGCACACAGAACACTAACACCAGAAACAGCAATCGTACAGAGTACACTAACATTTAACTACTGGACGAAATTGCAATCGTACACCGCCAGGCATATTAAAGACTGCAGAACACCAACGCCAGACCCACTTGAGACTGCAATCGCACACAGAACACTGACACTGGAGACTGCAATCGCACATAGAACACTAACACTGGACTGCAATCGTGTACCTTACCTACATAGTACAATAACACCAGTTCAGACTTACTGGAGACTGCAGTGGATCACAGTACACTAACATCAGGCCGTTTGGAGACTGCAGTGGCATACGGTACACTAGCACTGGACCGACTGGAGACTGCGACGATACACAACACACTAACACCAAACCTGCTGGAGACTGCAATGATACACAATACACTAACACCGGACCTGCTGGAGACTGCAATGGTACAAATATGTACACTAACATCGGACCTGCTGGAGACTGCACTGATACACAATACACTAACACCAGACGTACTGGAGACTGCAATGATACACAATACACTCAACACCGGACCTGCTGGAGACTGCAATGATACACAATACACTAGCACCAGACCTTCCGGAGACTGCAATGATACACAATATACTAACACCGGACCTGCCGGAAACTGCAATGATACACAATACACTAACACCAGACGTACTGGAGACTGCAATGATGCACAACACACTAACACCGGACCTGCCGGAAACTGCAATGATACACAATACACTAACACCAGACCCCCAGGAGACTGCAATGATACACAACACACTAACACCAGACCTTCCGAAGACTGCAATGATGCACAATACACTAACACCAAACCTGCTAAAGACTGCAATGATACACAATACACTAACACCAGACCTACTGGAGACTGCAATAGCACACAATACACTAACACCAAAGCTCTTGGAGACCACAATCACACACAGTCCACCAATCGTTCAATCGTTCCCATCGTTTTATTGTTTGGAAAGGCACACAGAGGCGTAGCTTCCACGTGGTAAGCGGTCGGCAGTGACTGAGGCCCGGATGGGCGGAACAGGTGCGTCGTTTCCGTCAGCAGGATCACACAGCGGCCACAACTAAGCGGAAGGGCGTGGGCGGCTTGCACCTCAGCTGCATACAAGATTACTGACAGCTGCATTCTGGCCGTCTGCGAGAGGCCAGGGTGCCAAGGTCACCACAGGTCGGCCGGTACACACACACACGGGGTACGGGAGCCCAGCCCGTGGTAGTGGACGCCGCTGCCCGCTGCTGTCCGGACCGCCGCCGCTGCTCTCTGTGTACCGGCCGGCCGGGGGCCCGCCCGTCGCAGACGGCCGCTGCCAGCTGTATGTAATGGATGCTCCTCGGGGGCGTCGCCGTCTAACAGACGGCCACTCCCTGAGCTCGGCTCGCAGCCCTCCGCAGCTGGCGAGGAGCGGCGACAGAGAGTCTGGCGCTGCGGTCCGCGCCCCGCCCGCCCCGCCGGCAGGTGGTCCGTGACGGGGTGTGTCGGTACATGTGTACACAGCGGGCGGCCCGCCTGAGGTCCCCCGCCGGCACAGCTGACGACAGAGGGAGACTATAGGAGGCGTGCCCTGTCGCAGCAGGTGGAGGAGAATGGAGCTCTTATGGACTGTGAATGGGTAGACAATGGCTGTTCGGGGGTGATAAGGAGCGGAGCAGCTCGGATCTGGAACTGAGGACGGCTGAGGGAACGAGTGAACCTTCCGGAGGAGTGCCAGGGGTGACAGAAGGTGTCGCTCTGGAGTCGTCACAATGGCTGACATACCGGGACCCGTGGCCCAGAGCAGGCCGCTCACGGAAGCTGGCCCGGAGGTGTCTCACACGCCAAGCGTGCGGTGATGAAGAGACGCGTAGAGCGGCAAGGGTAAATAGCTCCGCGAATACGACGGACAACCGCACGGGAGTCCGATCCGGTAGGATCCGATCGTTATCTCTCTCCAGTGCGAAATGAGTCGGGGATGCTGGGACATCTCTGAGCTCGGTAACTCGAGCATAACTCAGCCGGGAACGGTGTTCACTGCTCGCGTAAGACCGATCGAGTACTGACCATTGTCCATTGGAACAGTGCCCGGTCCGGGTACCCGTGAGGATCCATCGGAGCAGCCACCGCGGAGCCGTCTCCGGTGGCTCCGTCCATGTCGCAACCCACCAGCGGTGCAGCTGTCTGTCCCGCCCGGCTCGGCCAGATACCCGTTCTGAGCACATCTACATAAGTGCAGCGCCGCCGGCGGCGCGCTGACGTGGTCCACATCGCGGCCCGGCGCGCCGGGTCCGCTCACCAGACCCCGCCGTCCGCCGTCCTACACTGAGTCCGCCGCCGCCGCCGCCGCCGGCATTGGCGATTCCACGCACGCGCCAGGACCGAAATCGCTGTCTCATTCGGTCAGTGCCTTCGTAGTAAAGCTACTTGAGTACGTCGAGTCTTCATGGAAGTGTACTCGACGCGATCGTAGAAGGTCATCCAAATAAGGCGCAGCTGCGACGGGAGCGGCGCGGTGGCCGGTTACGGCCGTCCCTGTCACCGGGCGGCGGCGGCGGCTCTGGGGTTCGGCTCCCAGTGTGTTTACAAACACCCTCCGGAGATCGATGAACTGTGCTCACGGGTCTTGTAACACGGCTTGAATGGTGCGCCACTTGATAAACGATCGCGTGGAATCGTCACTTACATGGTTCTGATGCTTATCTCTGCCGCTCTGCCGATTGTAAAGCACCTGCACTCGCCTGACAGTCTCGGCACGCCAATCATTACGACCGAAAAACGCGATTTCTACTCGTGAAATGCAACTTCCCGAAAATTTGTCATCGTTTTCCTGTAGGCGTGTTTAATTAGTTTACGTAACTTTATTAGCAATAAACATAGACGGGGAGTTGGTAAGTTAAGTAATATTTCACTGGCTTTGTTTTAAAATAGTTGAAAGCTGTCTTGGAGCCAACCGCCCGGTAACCCTGCGGCTGCTTACGGATCTCGTTCTGTGTTTCACCGCGCCGTTGACTGTGCCCTTCTGCTTGTCTGCCTTCTGACCCTGTACCGGTCTGCCCGTCCAGGGTGCGGTCTGGCACAGCCCACCTGGCGATTGGACGGCCGGTGCGGCCACAGCTTCCCCCTGGCCAATGGTGAGCCGTCCACGTGCGATAAGCGCAGCGAGCGGCCGTGCTGCTCCGACTTCGGCTACTGCGGCAACTCGGACAGCCACTGCCGCTGCGAGGACTGCGTCGACTACAGAGGTGGGTGTCCGGCGGGAAAATGAACGGCCTTGGCGGCCTCTCCGCCCCTCAGCTCAGGGCGACGGGCCGCGGCCGTTACTGACAGTCTATATGGCTATCCGATTGCGAATATGTTTATAGGTTACCTACGTGTTTTTGTAATGGATTTGAAATTATAATGCACGGAACAAAATGTCTCATATTGGCAAGAGTGGCAACAATAAACATCGTCCCTAAGGCCACCCAGTTGTAACGTAGGCTGCTCATGTCACGGATCTAGCAGCGCTGCGCCAGGACGGGCTGTTTACATCCCTGTTTAAAGGGACACTCCCACCTTAACATTAGTTTTGAGTTGAGATAGCCAAATTGGTGGCCATGGCCTGCAAATACCGGTTTGGGCACTCACAACATCGAAAAATGCTTTAATTCGAAGATATGGAATTTCAAACTTGCAGTTTTCGGATTCTAAGGGGCTAATGCATTGGAATGCCCCCTTAGAATTTGTGACGTCAGCGGAGATCTAACGATTTTTAAATCTTAGACTAAAACCATCGTTAACACGTGGTGGTATACGCTGCTTTGCGCGCAACGTCTGCCGCACTTTAAGGCTGCCAAATTATTGCTTCCAAATAAAGTCGCTAGTAACAGGGGAGATCCCAAAAAGTAAACAAAAGTAAAAGCCTAATATCTTGAAAACCAGTGAATATTTTTCGGTGAAATTTGGTAGATATTCGTTTTCGCTCTTTCTGAACCAAGGGATATCACTTTCATGCCAATTCATTAACTTTTTTGAAGGTGGGAGGGTCCCTTTAACCGGACCGCCCAGTCACCTGCGACGCTCACTTTGGACAAACGCCAATTGTGTAGTTTAGAGCATCACAGCACCAAATGAGCTGCATATTTATTGCGTTTGGTCGCCTCGACTGGAATACAGAGGCTCCTGCGATGCATCCTAATGCGACGCGTCCAGCAACCATGAAGATCGGGCATTATTCCGAGTCGAGTGAGCACTCGAGCTGAGTGGTTTCTGAAATCATCTGGCCGCGAGCCGGGTCGTCGAACCGCGGCTGCCGTCTGCACCGCCCAGTAGCCATGTCGCACGAGCCGCCGACACATATCGCTGGCTCTGAGCGCGGCGCTCCCGGCCTGTTTCAGCGATATTCCAGGGCTGCGTGCAGCGCTACTCGGGCCTCAAGGGCGTCATAGAGTCTCAGGATTACCCGGCGCCGTACCCAGCCAACACAGAGTGCTGCTACGACATCCAGCGGCCGGACGACTCCTACTGCGGCGTCAAACTCTACTGTGAGTACCCTGGACCTACCCTACTGCGGCGTCAAACTCTACTGTGAGTACCCTGGACCTACCAGCAAAATGGGTATCGACGGTGACATTTCAGTTTTTCGTCAAAAACGACACAAGTTACAGAACACATCAATACCGTCTTAATCCAATGAGGCATGCAAATGACCACATGCATTGCGATGAATCATGGTGCTAAGCAGATGCGTCGAATATGAAATGCTTAAGCCGAATAAGGAAGCATGAGTAGCTATGATAATTGGCTAGTCCAAGCTTCGACCTTTAAAGGCAGGCATCGGTGATGAATATGGAACGAGAGCAAAGTAGATATTCATGCAGAGCCCGGTAAGGTAGAATCAACAAACCCATCTCCTGCTAAACGTTAAATCAACGCAAAAAGAATGCGACATTGGAATGTTTCCAGAATTAGAAGGTCCAGGAGCACCTGTGCATCCAGTTAAAGAAATCGATATATCTGTTACGCCCATGCCGACACTGCTGCCCGTCCCTGTGTATTTGCAATGGACCATTTTGACTGCTGGTCTGTGTGCTTGTAGTCGACCATTTTGACGAGTGTTCTGTACGTTCCGCAGTCGACCATTTCGATGTTGAGGGCTCGATGGAGCCGTTCTGCCAGCGCGACTGGCTGGCCGCCGAGTACTGTGTGCCCGAGAAGGGCGCCAGGATGTGCGGCAACCTGACCGGCACCGTCCGTGAGTAGACTGGGAGTCGGACTCTGACCGGGTCCACCCGACTATAACAGAGAGGACCAGAGCCTGACTGGCGTCTGACCGAGGTCCGAGTCTTTGTCGTGATGGGGAATGGTAATGTTTTCAGTCACGTAGATTCTTAGAAAATCAGACACGTTCGTTCACCATATCAAACCCAGCTTCGGGGTCTGTCCCGTGTCCTCGGGAGTTCTTCACCGCCTGTCCACCTCTGCTGCTGGCCACTACGGCCGTCACGAGCCCTGCTGTCGGGAGCGGAGATTGCTGAGGGCGGGGACTCTCAGTAGTAGTAGTGACTAAGTTGAATGTGCCCACTGCGCTCCCGTTCGCCGTCGTTGTTTGCCATATAAGCGAAGGGGAACTGCTGCGCTGACCTGACGCCGTAATGAGGCACTGCCTGAGGTCTGGCACCGTGGTGAGGCACTACATCACGCAGTGCAATGGTCACCGGTTCATTCGGGTGAGCCCCCGACCCGTCAGACGCTATGTCGGAACAGTGGCGATTTACGGCCGGCACCGCCCGTTGCAGAGTATCCGGAGGGTAGTTGGTACCCTTATCGACCGACTGGCGGCAGTCAGACGCTAGTGAAAGGGCGTAGCAGTCCACCTGACCTTCTGTCCGGCCACTCCGGGCCAGCCGAGACCACAGCCCAGTTGCCGAGACTTTCGGGGAGACTCGAGAATCCGAGCAGAGAACAACTGGAGTTTTTCAACAAATTGGGTCGTGTGGTCCGATCTGCACAGATCTCGAGGTGCAGCCGGACTTTCCGTGGAGATGCATTCCGTGGCAGCTCCCCCAAGCCGTCTCCCGGTCTGTAGCCCGGAGCTCGGTCCGTCTCTCGGCCCGTTTCCCGATCCGTGTCTCCCGGTCCGTCTCTCTGGGTCCATCTCCCGGTCCGTCTTTCGGTCCGTCTCTCCGCCTCTCGGTCGTCCATCTCTCGGTCCGCCGTTTGTCCCAATATCCGTCTCCTACTCCGTCTCTCGGTCTATCCCTCCATCCGTCTCCGTCTCTCCCTCTTGACCCGTCTCCCGGTCTATCCATCGGCTCGTCTCTGACCATCTCGGTCCGTCTCGGCCCGTCTGTCGGTCTACAGCGCTCTGCACGGGACTGACGGCCGCCGATCGGGAAAACGTCCCGCTGACAAATTATCCGAGCCGAGCGGCAAAAAGTCGGGACGAGCGCCGGCTCGGTTCTGCTGAGGACGGAGACATTCCTGCCCGTCTCTGTACCGGTGATTGATGCACAGAGCTCGTACTGCGGAGACGTGCCTCCGCACCGGGTCAAATCAAAACATCTCCAGCTAAAACTTATACTCCGGTGCATATACGGAAACCCGTTTCAGCCCGGGCAGGCTGACTTAAGCACTAGAGCTAAATGCAGTGTATGCAGATCTAGATTGCCGTACCTACTGGTACAGCCAATCTGGTTTGCAGCGGCGGTTTGTAGAGTTCTCAATGGTGATCTCAGTTGGCGAGTTGCGAGGAACCGTCGGTCTCCCCCCCCCCCTCCCCATTAGCAGGGCGCGGAGGACAAGGAAACGGGGGGGGGGGGGAGAGAGCAGGTTTAACGCCACAAGATTCATACAATATGTGAGCTCGTTGGAACGGCGCTCGCCGCACTGTGCCTTCACTGAGTGTCGGGAGAGTCGCGTGCCGTCCGATTTTAACCCGTACCCTCCTGTGTCCGATTTCAGACGAGTTTCTGTACCAGCCGGGCTCGTCGGCGCTGCGGCTGTCGTTCCGCTCGGACACCTACAACCTGCACAGCGGCTTCCACATTCGGTACGAGCTGCTGCGGAGCTGCCGCGCGCCCTACGCCGACCCCATGCCGACGGCCATCCCCGGCTCGGGCGGAGCGCTCTGCTACACCAAGGTCACCAACCGGAAGGGCACCATCAACACCCCCTACTTCCCCAACAACTACCCCAATGAGGTCGACTGCGTCTACGAGTTCGAGAGGTGAGCGGGTCCGTTAGCGGCCGGTGTCGGGCTGCTGGGTGGGGGACTCGGGGGCCGGACCAGTCGACTCCAGACCCACTGGCAGCGACCCTAGCAGAACGGAAGTGATCTAATGCAATTCTGCCACGCATCATGTCCCGTAACAGATTCGCTAACTGCACTGGACACTTTATATCCAAGGTCTTATTCAAGGTAAAGTGACCGGCACTTCTCTGAAACTATATACAGGCCCTGCACCGATACGGTCGTGACAGATACGGTCCTTAACGATTCCCTCACGATGCGTGCCTGAAAAGTAAATCACATGCAGCTTTCGATCCCCAGGGCTTACATAGATAAGGAGCGCAAACTCGAACGGCTAGCGGTGTTCTCGATGCAATCGTTGCAGGTTGCTAGATATTGTCCAAACACAAGCTACGCTGGAACTATCAAGTCGTTAGCTTACGTGCTTTCTTTGCGGGTTGCTTTCCGGACCTGACGGACGATTTCTATCGTAACTCGCTGGTGTTCAGACTCGGGCAGACACCGACTTTATTTTTATCGGCAGGAATAACTTGCTGGTGTTCAGAAATCAGACACTGACTATATATTTCTGTCGGCAGGAATAACTCGCTGGTGTGCGGCGTGCGGATGCGGTCGCGCGTGTTCGAGCTCCAGGAGCCGTTCACATCCCCGTTCGGCGGCGCGTGCACCGACTTTTTCCACTGTCCCGGCTGCGGCTACCTCTGCGGCTCCGTCGAGTACTCGTGTGAGTGTGGATACCAGTGGATTACCTACCCACTTCCTTTTCTAGTACGTCACACCCTAACAACCTCCCTGACACATCTCCGTCCGCCTCCCGGTGCAGGGCTCGATCTCGGAACACCCGTCCCTCCCTCGGTGGCCGACATCCGGCCCCGATCCACGACCATAACCCGCCTCCCCCTCGGAGGAGCGAGCCGACTCCGGCCGGCGACATCCGGGCCGGTCCCCCGCACGACCACCCCGGCCACTAGGATGTTACCGACCCTGACCTGATCTAGGCACATTCCACGATCCTAAATTCATAGATCGATGCGGATTCCTGTGGGGCTGTGGACTACATGGGCTTACTTCCATCCACTCTCCGGTCGTGTCATATTATCTCCTACACTTACGATCGGCTCATGCTCCCTGCCTCTTCCCTCCCTCCCCGGTCGCCTCCTACCCCTCTTCCCTCCCGCCCGTCTCCCTGCTGCCGGACACTCTGCCGGAGTACCGAGTCGTGACCGGGCTCCCGGTGACATCAGTCACCGCCGCCGGCCGGGGGACGGCGCCGGACCGGACCGAACCGCCGGCCGGCACCGGGAGCAGAGCGGTCCGAACCGTCACCCGGCGGCAGCCGGCAACTTCCTGTCCAGCCGAGGTCAGGGTCAGGTCACCCGACCAAGATCCTGTGCTCCCTCCGGCGGTATCCATTCTTTGTTCCGGTAATTTATTTGTTACCATTAACTCTTGAACCGGTTGTTGTGAACGGGAACTTTTTCTCGGAGTAAACAGGGTATTACAGGGATTGAGTCATCTGTCAGTACAGCACGCCATTACCCATCGTCAGTTCCATATTCTTCCTTCGAGTTGGTGTGTGCATAGTGTGTACCGAGTGGTGCCCCGTCCGCCCGCGCTCTCCGAGCTCGCTGACGCCGGTGTCCGTCTGCCGTACTGCAGGGGTGGCCAGGTTCCAGCCCGACGCTACCGCCATCAAGTTCCACTTTCACTCGGACGAGGCAGACACCAGCAAAGGCTTCATGGCAACGTTCGAGCAGATTTACGACTGCGATTGAGAGCGCTGCTGGCGCCGCCCGGCCCGGCTGACGGTGGACGGGGACACCGGGCGGCGCCGGCGGCCGCCAGACGGCGCTCCCGGCCGGCACAGGCGGCGCGCCGGCCCAGCGCCCGGACAGCCGAGAGCGGCCGCCGCCGGGCCGGCCGGCCGGACCCAGAGGACGCCAGTGCCCGGTGCGCCGAGACCAGTGTTGTTTACCAGTGCGTGGTCGGTGTTATTACCAGTTCCCGGTGTCGTTTTACCATTTCGCGGTGTTGTGGATAGTTCCATGCGATATAAGCCGTGTCGATCTGTCTGTGAGGTGACCGGACCTGATACACCTCGCCAAGGCACAGCCGTGTGACGAGGAACGGCAGAACTCCGCAACTGACGGACATCGTGACGCATGCAGAACAGTTCGTGACATGTGCAGAACAAGCCGTGACAGCTGCAGCAGCGCAGTTCGTGACATCGTGACGGATGTAGAACGGTCCGTGACGATCACAAAGCGGCCTGTAGCGACTGAAGAAGAAATCGACTGTTATCCGTGACGGGTGGAGAACCATCCGTGAAGACGCGGCGGTCCGGCGCCGCGTGACGCTGCGAGGTCGCGGCTCGTGACGGCGCGGCGGAGGAGTAACGTGACGTGACGTGACGTGCGTGTAACGCGCTACCGCGATACCTCGCCGCCCCAAAAGACCTGTGCAATGTAGGCGGCCCGGCTGGCGCGGGGCCGGCTGCCCGCGGCCGCTGCAGACCGGGGTACGCTGACTGTTCCTCTCTGTATTCAACAAACTCGTGTCTAAAACAACCAGCGATGTTTAATAGTCACCTGTCTCAGACTCTGGATGAACCGCACGATGAGGGACGCAAAAACACGCCAACGCGTCTGAACAGGTATATTTAATGATTAACATTCTATAAAATTAGAAATTACTGTAAAAACAACTCCGATAAATAACGACAGGGTAGCGCGACTGATAAGTCCACATCACTCAGCCGCCTATCAAAACCACCGAAAGACGGTAGGGTCGCGTCTTTCAGGACTCCTCGTCTGTTGACATCGTAGTTCGCCACGCACTCTACGCTTATATGGGAGGGTGGAGGGTAGTCACATGGACACTGAATGTTCACTGAACATTGCGATTGTTGACGGGCATAATTGCGTGCAATCGGAGCAGTTAAATACTAGGGTTGACTATTAAGTAATGGAAGTGCCTGAAGCAATTAAACGTTTTTGCACGTGCACTTGTTTTCTTGGTGTCATTTCATGCGCCAATGTTTTTTCTATCCAATGGTGAAGACCACATGTCCTTAGCTACTTCTTGCTCCAAGCTATCGTCGTTTTCCTAAGAGACCACCCGAACCTGCGGCGCACCATGAAAAAGGAGTCTGGCAATGGCCAAAATCGCGCGCCAAGCGCCAGCGCGAGGTCATCAGAGCTTATTGGCTTATTGTTATGGCTACACAATGGACAATTTCTATATTTTCATCAAAACAATACACATTGGCACGATAAATGACAGCATACACTACTCCACATAACCGCCTTCAAGCATCACACACCATTCCAGCCTCGTCTTGACCCACTCCTTGAACGCCGCCAGAAGACTGATCGGCGCTTTCTTTCTCAAACCGATGAAACCACCTATACATATCGTCTGTGGGGAGGCTGCGTCGCTCCATACACTTAGAAAATAAATTTTCTGATATTGGTAGGCCTTTTCCCTACGACAAACTGAGCTCTAATGACCTTGCACTCGGCGCTGGCGCGCGGTTTTGGCCATTGCCAGGTGGTGCGCCACAGGTTCGGGAGGTCTCTTGGGAAAACGACGATAGCTTACAGCAAAAAGTAGCTAGGGACATGTCTTCACCATTGGATAGAAAAAAGATCGGCGCATGAAATGACACCTAAATAATGTGTGCACGTGCAAACCCGTTTAATTGCTTAAGGCACTTCCATTACTTAATAGTCAACCCTAGTACAACAAAAGTCGAACAACATTCCATTAGACGAGTAAAATAACATTGCATTAGCGCGCAATCACAGCAGGGAAGGCAGGACATGGGCAGTGGCCTATTGTCGCAGCAGCATAACTTAACTAATGGGTTAAACAGATTTTCTAACGGGAGTTCCCCTCGCATACTTCAAAAAGTACCATAATGCTGTTTCAGCCACACAACACTGCATCGTTGGGATATGTTTCAAGCATCTCGGGCGTCTATTCGTGCCACCACTGTAATTTGCCATGAAAATTCACCCATGACCCGAGATAAAGCAAACATGAACTAATAAAACAGCACTTTGAGGGCGGCACTTATGCAGATACATCGACCCTCCCCCCCATCCCCGCATCCGTGCGAGCATTTGCATTAGTTACTGTAGAAGCTAGTTATCACAGGGTGACTAAGGCAGGGACACTCAATCCGACAAAGCAGCCTAGTCATATCATATCAATATCACCGCAAATCAAAAACACTGCATAGCTGCCATCCCAGTCATATGCTCCAAGGTGTCGCGCAGAATAGTCATCGATTGCGCACTTTGTGACCTCTAGTAGTATTTCATTGACAGCTGAATACCGTGTCTTCAAATTGACAGAGCACACAATGTACGAACGAACACAAGCCCAGCTGCCCAGGGAAGGCTAGGGTGCAATGTAATTACGTATTACGAGTGTTGTCCCAGGCGCCGTCACCTCTGGTCTGGGAAGCCGGTTAATATTTATTTATGCCCCTGAGCAGGTTGCCGTGGGAAGCCGGTTGACATGGTTTAGGCGGAATACGTTTGGCGCGGCTCTCAGAGTTCAGCTCGGCCCGGAGTCGGCACTGGTGCACTATCGAGGTGGATCACAGACGGAGGACGCCTCCTAGTCAAGGACGGCGACAAGGCCGACGCCTTCTGTCAAACATACGCCTGGGTCTCACGCCAAGTAAGGGTTCCCAAGGTCGACCGCCTGGCGAAGCAGCAGAGGAAGGCCCTCACCCCGTCCACGTGTCGAGAGTGTGACGGCGCCCGTGTGGGATGCTGCGGAGCCTTCAGCATGGACGAACTGGTCCGGCAGCTGAACTCTCTCAAGTTGAGGAAGACACCCGGTCCCGACGGCATCACGGCTGAGATGCTCCTCCACCTGGGCCCTACCGCGCGACGGGAACTCCTGCACGCCATCAACAGCAGCTGGCAAGAAGGAGCCGTCCCACGTGAGTGGCGCCAGGCCACAATCTGCCCTATCCCAAAGGCCGGGAAGGACAAACGCCTGATCTCCTCATACCGACCGATCGCGCTCACCAGTCACGTCTCCAAGCTGGTCGAACGCCTAGTCCTCAACAGGTTGAACCACGTTGTAGCGGCCCGGAACCTAATCCCACCCGAACAGGTGGGCTTCCGTGAGGGCCGCTCCGTGGAGGACAGCCTGGGGCGACTGGTGCAGCAGGTTCAGGACGGATGGCAGCGCCCGCGATCGCGTAAGAAGCAGCCAGCGGACGGCGAGACGGCCCAACGCTACGTCCTGACGGCGTTCGACTTCTCCCGAGCCTACGACACGGTGGATCATCGGCTACTCCGCGTCCGACTGTTGCAACAAGGCATACCACTCTGCCTCATCACCTGGATCTGGAGCTTCCTCCGCGACCGCCGAGCTCACACAGAAGTTAATGGCACCAAGAGCCGCGAGCGAATCTTCAGAGCAGGTCTGCCACAGGGAACCGTGCTGGCGCCGACCCTGTTCCTGTTATGGGCGGCGCCACTGGCAGACGCCCTGAAGAAGATCCCAGGCACGACGCCGTACATGTACGCCGACGACACGGCGACGCTATGCTCTGGCAACACCATCCTGGTCGCACGGCGGAGAGCCCAGCAAGCGGTTGATGTTCTGGTGCAGTGGGCCCTCGCCTCGAAGATGAGGGTGGCGAGCGAAAAAACTCAGGTGCTGGTCCTCTCTCAAGCCCCCAAGGACGCAGTCGATTGCTACATCAAGGTAGCAGGGGAGACCGTGGCCGCGGGCGCCCAGCTGAAACTCCTTGGAGTTACTCTAGACCGCACCCTCCACTTCGGGGCGCACTGCAGAAATCTGCGACAGAAGACTCGTCCCCGGATAGCCCAGCTCAAGAGGCTAACTGGGCGTGACTGGGGCCTCCGAGAACAGCAACTTCGAGCGGTGGCCAATGGATATGTCAGGGGCCCCCAAGAACATGCTGCTGCGGCCTGGCTGCCTGCCACACCCGCTTCCCACGTCGAGATCCTCGAACGTGAAGTGCGGGCGGCCGCGCGCGTGATCACGGGCTGCCCCGTCTCAACACGGACCCACGCGCTGCTGGCGGAAGCCGGTATGCCCCCGGTCTCGGAGCGGCGTCTCTCGCTGGCGGCCCGCTTCCTGGCCAAGGCGAGAGCCCTGCCGCGCGAGGACCCGCTCCGCACCGTCGCCGACGAGGTGGTGCCGGCGCGCCTGTCCTCCGTCACTGGTTGGAGACAGGTGGGCATGGAGGTGTAACGCAGATGCGTTACATTTTTTTCATCTTTCATGCTGAACTGCAAGCGGTGCCACAAGCTGAAACACAGCCATCTGCGAGCGCCGCACAGACACGGTCAGCCGGCTAGATCGGCTGTAAACCCTATCTCCGTCCCAGCCGGCGTCCACACAAACGGCGCACTCGGGCCGGCCCAAAACAGCAGCTGCACCCGACTCGGAAGAAAACAGGCCGAGGCTGGGATCGGGGACCCGGATGCCGATCAACCGTGTCGTCTGAGGAAGGGAGAGCCGGGCAGTTCACGCAAACAAAGTCATTTTGACCCCTGACCGCCGGCCCCACGACCATCTGCGCGCGCCGCGCAGACACGGTCAGTCGACTAAATCGGCTGCGACGCCCATCTGCGTCGCGGATCGGCGTACACAAGAGGTGCCCGGCTTTGACAACAAGGGTCCACTGTGGGCGACCACCCCCACTTCATGAGAACCCGGATCTGAAATAGCATACCGGAACGCATCATCCTGCCGGGACGAGCCATTAATCAGTTCAACCTTTTGGAAAGCAGGACTTGGTCCCACGCTCGGCACCCAGCCGCCGTCACAGAAGTCGACCCGGAATTCCACTGGAACACCAAAACAAGAGAGGGGAGCGGAGACCGACACAGTGGATGAAATGGAACTCGGTCACCACCACGAAATAGGACACCTGGCCGGAGACATTCAAAACAGGGGGGAGCGCAGGACTAAAAACAAGAAAGGAGGGCGCAGAGCCGGCCGCCACCTGGCGCCTCAGGCGCCGTGAGCGCCGGCGGCGAATTCCACCCGATCGCTGCGTGAAAGGGTGCGACTGCCATGGCCGGAGGGGAACCGAACTTTGTCAGCAAATCACGAACTTTCGAGGGCGGAGCCGAGTGCAGCTTCTGAGAATGGAGGACGGAGATTGGACAAGAGATGCTGCCCGGCCCTCTGAAGTATGACGTCATCAAAAGTATAAGTTGATGAAACGGAACTGGAACGCTCTCTCTGGCTCTCTCTCGGACGACGCATCCCGCGCCGGTCAGAGGTGGAACTTTTTGTTTTTCATTGGGGTTGTAGTTTGCCGGAGCCCAGGGTATACCCCCACCAAAACCCGAAAAGTCCCCGGATTCGGCCCACTATTTTTCGGGAGGGGCCCACATTTTCATTTGCAAAAAAAGTGGTCCATCTTCAGGGAGAGACGGCTGACCCTGTCGTCCCTCTATTAGCTATGTGCCTGGTTGTAGGTACTCGGGTATCGCCACCATGGTCGTGGCCATAGGCGGCGGAACGGGGAGGGCACCGGGGCACCTCGCCCCCTTTGATTTTGGCATTTTAACCCGCGCCCCACTGGGGGGGCTATTTATAGCCCCCCCTCCCGTTTTTCTGCAATAACTTCCAAACCGCTTGACGGATCGACGCCAAACTTTCAGTACCTTCGGCTGCATCAATTTGACACCTTGTGTCAAAATTTGAACTTCGTAGCTACCACAGGTTGGCCGGAAATGACGTCAGAGTGACGTCATGTTCGCCCGATTTCGACGCAAAACATTGAACCACGGCAATCGCTCTCAAGAGCTCAGTTTTTAAGCTAGATCCAATTTCTTTGCATGAAAGCACTCAGAATTGACCGCGCTATCAAACTGCTATCTCGAATTTTCATAATTTTGAAAATTTCGAAAATTTTATATAATAATATTCAAAATTTATATTTTTATATTTTTTTCAAAAAGCTTTTGTTTTTTAGAAAAAACCGGAATATATGTGACAGAACGCATGATTGTGACTAACTCTAGCAAGTTTTAACTAAATATCTTCAAAAATGGCCAAGTTATACGCATTATTGCAAAAAATTCACAATTATTAATTTTTCAAATCAATTTTTCAGTGCGTATTTGACATCGTACACCAATATAAATGGCACCATCGTGTTCCTGAGATCAAACTGCATCCAATAGACACCTTTTTTGTTGAACAATTTCAACTTCAAAATTTGACCTTTTTTGACCTGAAAGTGACCTGACCTAGGCTAAATTCGACTCAAAATGACCTCGAATGACACAGACGACATCAAATTCGAAATCTATGGCCTAAATGGACCATACAACATGTGTCACGTGACCGACGCATGATAAAATATTTTCGTGACCTGTGAAGACCTGACCTTGACCTGAAAATCAAAGTAAAAGTTTGGTACCCTCAGGGTATCTAGAGCATCTGTTCAATAGTGTGTGTACCAAAAATGAGCCTGATCTGACTTGTAAGACGGCGGCCAGAGCCCAAAATGTGAACAAACCAAAATGCTAATAATTTTTACTTTGACCTGACCTGTGACGTCATCGGTGACCTCGAGGTCAATGAAATTAGGTTTCGCTCGACAGTTTTTCCGGGGCTATCAGACGCCGTTTGAATTTTGACGATCGGCCCAGTAGTTTCGGAGTTAGGAGGGGGGGCTATGAATAGCCCCCCCCCCCCCCCAGTAGGGCGTGTTATACACAGACCCCAGTGGGGCGCGGGTTAACATTAGCCCTACCTATGGGCGTTGCATGGAAAGAATGGGATCAAAAGTCGGCAGTGCCCCCTTTAATTGAGGGTGTTTCGCCGCCACTGGTCGTGGCGATTCAGAAACGGTAGGTAAACGCCCAAAATCACAGTCCCTATGAATACTTGTTTCTTTCCACATTTGACACAAACATTACTCAGTATTGGAGCAAGGCTCTTTCCCTACGAGTAACAATTTGAGCCACTCGTGGCAATTGACAAAGAAGACCTAAACAGGAATACGTTATTTTTAGACTAAAAAACTTAAAACGAGTCCATCTTTGTATATTAATGCCACGGTCGTCTGGAATACGTCTATTACGGAAACGGGTAGTAGAAACCGGAATAGTGACTGATCAGACAAGAGATATTTTGCAAACGAGGACAACATACCGAACACAATGCCGCAAAGGAACCTAACACTGGATCTAAATAATCTCAACCTGAGGAAATTAAATAATAAATGCCACAGCCTTTTCATATCACCGAATACTTCAGATGATCTTCTTTTTTCAACGAGCAAATGTAGGTATTATGCATTGTTTGGCGAATCGTAAACAAAACTCGTACTCTTCACAGCCACGATGGCTAGGAACACATCACGCGGCTTGTCTGTCTGCCCCTGAGACACTGAACGTACACCGATTTTCAGCTAAATCGAAAGACCCCGCTGGTTCCCGTTAAAATAATAAGTAGTCGTTAACTCGTTAATACCACCCCAAAGAGTTACATTCTCGGAATCAGCGCATCGAGGATGCCCTGTATACCGATTTTCAGCCAAATCGTAAGACCCAGCCGTTTCCGGTTAAAATGTTAATTAGCCGTTAACTCGTTAACGGTGCAAATACCACCTCAAAGAGGTACATTTTCGGAATTAGCGCATCGAGGAGGCCCTGTACACCGATTTTCAGCTAAATCGAAAGACCCCGCCGTTTCCCGTTAAAATGTTTATTAGTCGTTAACTCGTTAACGGTGCAAAATACCACCCCAAAGAGGTACATTTTCGGAATCAGCGCATCGAGGAGGCCCTGTACACCGATTTTCAGCCAAATCGAAAGATCCCGCTGTTTCCCGTTAAAATGTTAATTGATCGTTAACTCGTTAACGGTGCAAAATACCACCTCAAAGAAGTACATTTTCGGAATCAGCGCATCAAACAGGCCCTGTATACCAATTTTCAGCTAAATCGAAGGAACCCACCGTTTCCCGTTAAAATGTTAATTAGTCGTTAACTCGTTAACAGTGCTACATACCACCCCAAAGAGGCATATTTTCGGAATCAGCGCATCGAGGAGGCCCTGGATACCGATTTTCAGCCAAATCGAAAGACACCGAAATATGCTGCTGTGAGGCTGATATTCGTTGCTGCTGAATTGACAGACGTCGCCAAAACCTTGCATTTGTATCAGATGCGTCATGTTGGCTTACATGTGACTTAGTTTGCATTCTGTTCGCGAACCTGTCAGTAAGATTATCAGCACTAATTATCGCACAGGATTGGTTGTTATGGTCGTCAACGTTGGTTTTAAGTGTCGTCATTTTAGCCAAATATTCGTGCTGATTGGTGGTATTGTGCCAACTGACAAAATTGCGAACAGAGTGATATTTCACTTAAGCAATGTATTTTATTTAATTGTGCGTTCTTTGGTTCTGTGGTCGTTGACACGCAATATTATGGTCAGATTATGGTGATAGAATGATACATAGGGTGAAGGCTTAGGTCAGGTTAATTTATTTCTGAAGCTCTGTTGTCTGTCAAACTTTTCATATATGCTTACCTATTTGATAAGCACAGCCCACAGGTATGAAATGTTTAGTGAGAAAACCCAAAAGTACAGTGGCGGATCCAGGGGGGGGGGGCAAAATGGGCATTTGCCCCTCCCAAACAGCATAATTTAAACATTATGCCTATGGACGAGGCATGGAAAGAATCGATAAGTTGTTATGGTTTCCCCCCCCCCCCAAAAAAAAAAAACTGAGCTGGATCCGCCACTGCAAAAGTATGATGAATGTTATGATTTTTTTGCTTCACACTTTCATGTTACATGTTAAGATTTTTTGGAACACTTTCAATATGATTCACTTAGTATGCTTAAGAAGTGTGAAGTGATTAACTTTCATATCATGCTCACTGTCTCAGTCTCAGCAGAATAATATGTTCTTAACAGAGCACTTTCAATGTTTTTAGCATCTGAAATTCAAAAAGATGTCCTAATTTATTGATATCTTCACTTTCTTGATATATCTCAATTATCTGCTTCTGTATGAGACATATTTTGTTCATTTTCATGTGTTTTAGGCTGATTCTTAATTTTCCAATGTTGGGGTTGTAGTTTTGCCATTGGGGTTGTACTTTTAAAAGTTGGGGTTGTAGCTACACCCCCCACAGTATATAAAGTTCCGCATGTGGCGCCGGTGGCACTCTCTCGGCCCACGTCTCTCGTCTGACATCGCGGACAGCCCACGAGACACCAGCGGCTGGCATCACGGCGCCGGCGGCGGCTCCGGCCGCCTGGCCGGGCGCTGGACGGACACGACCATCACGTCAGCGACTCCATCTCAAGTAAGGTCACGCGGTGAACACGGGTGCGCACCTAGTCCCTAAATCCTTCAAGTAACCCCCCCCCCCCTCGTTACTGCTATGTGAGCCACATTATATTCCCTTTTGGGTGTCGTCCGCAATATTTTAGGCCATTCAGTTTAGGTAGTTCATTTTATTTTGGGGACATTCAGTCTAGGTAGCTTAATTTAACGGTCCGATTTCCGTCAATTATTTAACTATGGGCGTGATGTGGGACGCGTGCCGACGTGGAGTGGACCCTCGTCCGGCGCCCGTGGTGATTAAGGCGGACGGAGGGGATTATGCACCGTGGGGAGTCGGGAAAGGGACTGGCGGGCGACGCGACTTTGTACCGCACCGCGCGGCGTGTGAGTTCCAATTGATGGGCGGCCTGGGCCCAGAATGTTCCTTTAAATTTGACGTGTAAGGGAATTTAAGGTGTTGCGTCGGAGTATGTAAATAAATGGGACTTGTAAATATTGAAATACGAGTGTGAGTATAGTGCTGAAGGGCAGGGATCGGAGGATGGAGCATAAAAGGCCATATGCCAACCCACAGTCGGGAAAGAGGTCATTTCCAAGGTGTCTGGTCAGAGCAATTTACAACGATCAGTTTTCTTTATCTGTTTGATTTTACACAGTGCACACAGGGATTATACGGGGAGCATAGAACACACACAGGACCTCCCTAGCCTAGCCGATACTGGAGCTTCTCCGGTTGACTCCTAAGTGCCCTTGCCAGTGGATTTCCTGGCACTCCATCCTCCCCAATTTATCCCAAGGTCCAAACAATAGCGATTACACACAACACACACAGGACCTCCCTAGCCTAACCGATACTGGAGCTTCTCCGGTTGACTCCTAAGTGCCCTTGCCAGTGGATTTCCTGGCACTCCATCCTCCCCAATTTATCCCACGGTCCAAACAATAGCGATTACACACAACACACACAGGACCTCCCTAGCCTAACCGATACTGGAGCTTCTCCGGTGACTCCTAAGTGCCCTTGCCAGTGGATTTCCTGGCACTCCATCCTCCCCAAATTATCCCACGGTCCAAACAATGGCGATTACACACAACACACACCGGACCTCCCTAGCCTAGCCGATACTGGAGCTTCTCCGGTTGACTCCTAAGTGCCCTTGCCAGTGGATTTCCTGGCACTCCATCCTCCCCAATTTATCCCACGGTCCAAACAATAGCGATTACACACAACACACACAGGACCTCCCTAGCCTAACCGATACTGGAGCTTCTCCGGTTGACTCCTAAGTGCCCTTGCCAGTGGATTTCCTGGCACTCCATCCTCCCCAAATTATCCCACGGTCCAAACAATAGCGATTACACACAATACACACAGGACCTCCCTGACCTAACCGATACTGGAGCTTCTCCGGTTGACTCCTAAGTGCCCTTGCCAGTGGATTTCCTGGCACTCCATCCTCCCCGAATTATCCCACGGTCCAAACGATAGCGATTATACACAACACATACAGGACTTCCCTAGCCCAACCGATACTGGAGCTCCTCCGGTTGACTCCCAAATGCCCTTGCCAGCGGATTTCCTGGCACTCCACTAATCAATTTACCAACGGTCCGCACACAAGCAACACACTAGACCTTGTTGCACACGAAATATATGTAATTTTATTCTACATGGATACTGTAAGGGACGGAACCGGGGAGATAGATGATGCACGTCACGCCCCTGTGCGTGGAAAGTCCACCGACGCGGCCATGGGTTAGGAGGGAGATGAGACGCGAGTAGAGACGCGGACTGTACAAATAGAAAAATCGGGTTTCCCGAATGGCGCTAAACTCGGACAGACCCCACTAGATATTAGGCCTCGATTGAGTAAGCCCTGGATGCGTGCAATAAGTCGCGAAATTAAACGTGAGGATGAAGGCGAGTCGGGCACAGACCGCCGAGGAGGGTTTCAAGAAATGTTACCCGGTCAGCCTCGTGTCCTGGCTCAGAGGAGACGACGGGCTGTAGTCTGTCTAACCTCTGGCTAGCGGGACACGGGACCAGTGGCCCGATTGTTCCGGCCCAGGGTGGGCCTGGGTGATAATTAAGGTCACGGGGGCCGTCGCCTGGGATGTGTATCGGCGGGTGGGCCGCCGCGAGATGACGGTGTTCCGTCTCGGATTAACAGCCTCGGAGGCTGGGCAGATTTTAGGCTGCCGGGCTGGCCCGGAAGCCCTGAACTATGACTGGAGCGAGATGCGGTCATCAGTATCACGGATGGACCTTAGTTACCCAGCCCGGTTTCAAAAAGATAGGTAGGCCCGCTATCGGTCCCTCAAGTGGTCGGCGCGGGACGTCATTTGAAGAGCGACATAGATAGTTTCGGAGGTGGTTAGGACCCCGGGCGTCTTAGCGAGGGAATCGTATGCCGCCGGAAGAGTAATGCCCCGCGAAGGAACGTATAATGCCGCAAGACGGGGGTGAACATTAGATACCGAGCATTCGAGTCGGGTGATCGCAGTCAGACGGTGCTGGCCACCCGCAGTCAGTCGAGTAGCTCCGGCCATGCTCTGGTCCTTTCGAATAGGTCTGTGACGACAGCTTAACTACCAGCCACGGATAGATAGGGCTTTGGACACCTATGTGCTGGTAGTCGACGATGTGTGTTGAGTGCAGGATGTCCCCGAGTGGACCTGCGTGCGTGGAAGACGCGTGTCGTCTTTGTAGTTAGCCGACGAGAGCTAACCCTTTTTAGGTCGCCGGGTTGGCCCGGAAACCCTGAACTATGGCTGGTGCGAGATGCGGTCATCAGTATCACGGATGGACCTTAGTTACCCAACCCGGCTTTCAAATTTTAGATACGTCCGCCGCGGAAAGCCCGGGCTACTGAGTGCCCTGCGAGCTCTAGCTCCGGAACCGTGGGCTGGAGTGTGTTAGAGATGCTGACTGACCACTGGCAGCAGAAGGTAGGTCCACACGTGAGTGGCAGTAAGACAAGGGCTGCGTACGTTGTTGCAAAGGTTTACCGGCCCATGCTGTAAGTCCATTGTTCGCTCAACAACCTGCGTGCGTGTGTGTTTATTATTTGTGTGTAGGTAGTTCGGCATGGTCTTGGACCCGCTATAAGTCGCGTAATTCAAGGGCGGAGTGCCGAAATCTGTGGTGGTTCGTATATTCTATTCGTGTAGCGTGAGCATTATGAAGCGTTTGTCTGATGTACGGAGCATTGTGGTTATGAAGGGATAACGGTTAATGAAATTTAAGGCCAATGACTCAATAACGACTTGCGCACGCCTTAGCACTACCGGGGGAAGTTAGGCAAAGAGGGAGGGATCGGAGACGGCTAACTCTGATAATTATGAGGTATAACTGGACGTATGACAGAAGTGAGAAGGGATGCACGAGTGGAAGTATGATTGGTGTGTATATCCGGTGGGAGATAGCCCTCAGCTAGGAAGGGCGCTGTTGTTTGAGAGTGGGACTTTTTGTTAAATAGAGTTGATTTTCTATACCAATATGATCGAGGGTAATTGATTATCATTTATCATTATCTCCCATTCCCTAACCCTGGCCTATGTGTTTCCGATGATTGATCGCCCCGGAGAAAGTAAAGACAGAGTCGGGACGAGTTCGCGAGGGGCTGAACCGAGAAGGGCTTTTACGAGTAGAAGCGCACCGACTAGGCCGATTTTGAACACCCCCACTCGAGCCAGCCCACCTGCTGAGAAGCGAATGCCCGGTTAGCCCCGAAATCGCCGTGAAACCCCGCTACAGAGGTTTGGGAGGCGGCTGGCGTGTCGTCGCCGATCGAGCCCATCCTCGCTAGCCGGCAACCCCCATGGGTGACCACGAACGGCGTGACCTTCCGCCTGGACGTCGGGCCCGGCCTCCCGCCGAGAGCAGCATCTGCCCAGACGAAGCTGGAGGTAGCCACTCTCCACCTGAGCGGCCTCCCACAATGCGCCACGTGGGTATGGACGGACGGCGCGGCCGACGGAGGAGTCGCCAGCGGAGGTGCTGGAGCTCTGCTCGAGCTGCCGGACGGCGAGACCCGGGAGCTGCGGGTCGCTGCCGGCAAACTCTGCTCGAGCTACAGGGCGGAGCTCGTAGCCCTCAACGCAGCACTCGAGTACCTGCGACAGCACCCGGCGCACACAGAGGATCCAGTGGTGGTCTGCACAGACTCTCAAGCGGCTCTCCGAAGGCTGCAGGAGGGGCCGTCTGCGCAGTCATCGCCCCTCGCAACTGCGATCTGGGACAGCCTGCTGGAGCTGTCGTCGAGCGGTCGCCGGGTCCTCCTACAGTGGATACCGTCCCACTGCGGAATCCCGGGGAATGAGCGCGCGGACCAACTCGCCAAAGATGCCTCAACTCTCCCCCAAGAAGACGTCCCTGTTGACGTGACCACGGTCTACCGAGCTGCGGCGAGACTCGCGCGTGCCCGTACCACCAACCAGTGGCCTCCTGGCTGGTACCGCACGCTGATGGAGGGGCGTCCCCCGCCGCCGGTTCGTGGACCCAACAGGCTGGACGCAGTGGAGACTCACCAACTACGAGCAGGACACTGGTCCGGGTCAGCCCAGTACCTGCACAGAATCGGGCGGCACCCATCGCCGGAGTGCGCCCAGTGCAGTGATCGGGGATGCCGGGCAGGATGGTGCCGCGCCTGCGGCGAAGAGGCCGACACCCCGGACCATGTCCTTCTGCGGTGCCCGGCGCTGATGAACGCCCGGCTCCGCATCTTCGGCACCATCTTCCCGAGCCTGAGCGACGTGCGACGGGACGACGCGGTGGCGGCCCTGGCGAGGGTCGCCAGGTACCTCCAGAGCCGTTAGGCTACAGCTCACCAGAGCCTGGAGGGACAACACAACAACAACAGGTGGATCACAGAGATCACAGACAACCAGACAGCGGCCGGCGGCTGAGCGGCCGACGGGCAGTTTCAGGGGCCACACCGGGACAGCTTCAGTGAACCCCCTGCACAGAGTTCACCAGTTCGGCCGCGAAAGGTCGATACAGCAGCGAGACAGGGCGATCCCACCAACGACCCTTTCAGCGAACCGTTCGATAACATTTGCCGCATTTCCATAACCAAGGCGATGAGTCAATACTAATCAAAGTACTTTGATTAGGGTGATTAGGGTTGATTGTATTCTGAATTCGTTACCCCGTCACCCCGTCTTAGTGAGAAAAGCTTGGCATGCAAATTCACCACCCGAAGTCAGCTGCATGGTACCTGAGTTCTGCAACTCACCGCTCACGGCGGAGTATATACGGCGCTCCTATGTGCGCCGGCTCATGAATAATACACTAATATCAACGCTAGCCAAACACCAGCTTTGAGCCTGGATATAAATAGTTCAAGCCATGTCTGACCCACAACACTGAGTTATCACTCACTTGTTCGGCACTTGTCGCCATCACGACGCTATTTAAATGTCCAGCAAGAACAAGTTCTAGATAACGGAGACACCACCGTGTGAAGAAGATATTTCGCCATAACACCAGGGTGAAATGCATACTAAATGCACTCTTTCCCTTACCCAGACTGCATGATTCACCTATAAGGTAGGTAGGTATTGCAGTGAGTAGCCTATCAGCACGCGCCCGTAAAACCAGCGATACTCTCTCCCAGAACCTGATCAGATCCGAGACAGCTGTTCCACAGCTCTTCCACCCGCCTCTCCCACCCTTCCCGCGCACAGCAGTCGATAACGGCGCTCGGAGAAGCATACAGGCCCCACGGACCCAGGACAGTCAGTCCCCTTCTACCGGCGCGGGACTAGAGTCGTCGGACCCTCTCCCAGGCGGCTACAGTCGTCGTCGGACCCTCTCCCAGGCGGCTACAGTCGTCGTCGGACCCTCCCACCGGCGCGCGGGACTAGAGTCGTCGTCGGACCCTCTCCCTGACCCGTTCGACTCGCCTCTCCAGCTCCTGATCCTCCTCTCCGGCGGTCCGGGCAGGCACCAGAGCGAAGGGCGCCGCCGCGCGCGCCGGCCGGTAGAACGGACAGCGCGGCAGGTGGTCCGTCATGTGGGCACCGCCGCCCAGCCAGAGACGGCGCACCGGGCCGAACGCGCAGCTGAACCGCCAGCTCTGTAAACGGGGGGGGGGGGGGGGCTGATAACACAGAGACGGTGCACCGGGCCGAACGCGCAGCTGAACCGCCAGCTCTATAAACGGGGAACGGTGTAAGGGCACACACGGAGGCAACAGATGGACACAGGCAAGGCAAACAGACGGAGGCAAGGGGTGATGTGAAGGCAACACACACTCTGAAAAAGAAACATGGGAGGAGCGGGAGGCTAGAATGAAGCGATTTTGCACAGAATTTGTAGTTACTGGCCCCCAAGATGTGCATGATGCATTGTGCATGCACTCAAAGCTCGGCAGGTTTTCTAAGCTCAAAGTACCACACGCCTACCGAGTGCGCAATTCGAACCTACCTTGGCCACCGTGTGCCAGGTGACGCGTCCGTCTCGCTGGACGGGCGCCCAGAGCAGCAGTACCAGACCTCGGCTGTTGAGCAGCGAGCCGCACACGTCTCGCAGCAGGCGGGACGTCAGGGACAGGTGGTTCAGGCTGAAACAGGGACAGGGCAGCGCTGATACACAAATGAGAGCACGAATATGAGGCATGCAAGTTTAAATTGATCAACCGAAACACAAACGGGAAATACCTACGTGGCTGCAACACTAAGGATATCCCCCGCTTTTCAACAGAACAAAGCTAAGCAGGTGGTCAAATCAACGAATTGAAACAAGCGCGTAAAACAGGGTTGAAATACCTGCGGGAAAATATGTTATACATCGTTGGCTGTGTAATCCATTCAGCCCATATTCAGCCATCAGTCCCGTTAACGTGTACCTGTGTGATCCTCTACCGCTCTTACCTGTAAGGGTCGAGCAGGCTGGCTATATGCTGCAGCACCTCAAAGGGCAGCTCTTCAAACCGCCAGGGGCGCGCCGCGCCCGACCCGGGATCTAGGTCCCGCTCCGGGTCCGGAATCGGATCCTGTCCGGGGTCTGTTTCAGTACCAGTCTCCGGTTCCGTATCGTTGGTTACGGGTCGTACGGAGACGTCCGTCACCCCGACACATCCGGAGACGGGACTGACGGTGAACCGCCGCCGCGGGCCGTCCGGATACAACCTGAAAAGGAGACAATCAGGGAGTCAGACGAGACAGGTCGGGAGGAAGGTCTTTCGAAATGTTGGCAGTGCTCGCCAAGGATCGAACGAAAATATGTTGCATCTTTTAAGAGCGTTGGAAGATTGTGAGGCATCTACAGAGTACGTACCGGTATCTAACTCATCTACATGGATGAACCCGTCCCCGAATTACCGGTATTTGCAGTACCCGCTGCCGCGTCGTCTCACCTGTCGGCGAAGTGGGGACAGCCGTACTGCGCCATGGGGCAGCGCTGCTGGATCCACCCACCGGCCCCGCCGTGCACGTCGCCGTGCAGCCGCCCGAAGTGTTCGCTGAACTCGTCACGGCGCAGCGGCCGCGCACACTGGAACGTGTAGAGCGCGCGCGGCCGGCTCCGCTCGGGCACGGCCACGGCGTCGATGGTCAGCGCCAGCCGCGGCCCGTCGGCGCTCTCCGCGCGCTCGGCGCGCCGCTGCTCGTCGGCCTGCTCGGCGGCCAGCTGCCGGTTCCTGCGCAGCGCCGCGTCCAGGTCGTACTTGCCGGGCCGCTGTCGGACGGGCTCGGTGATCTCGAGCCGCCGCCAGCGGAGGCCGCCTCCCTCCGGGTCCGGGTCCGGGTCCGGCTGCCAGGTACGCCGCACCAGCTGCCGCGCCGGCGGCGGGTCGTGTCGGCACAGTTTACACATGTCCCGGCCGATGTGGTGCACACACATCTTCTCTACGTACGAGTCGACGGCCGGCTCTGGCGGCGGCGGCGCGCAGTCGGAGTTTGTCTCGTCGCCGCCAGGTGTCAGTGTGGTGCGCGCCAGCTGACTGCAGACGCTCCGCTCCAGACCTGGCGATGGGAGACGGGGATAATTACGACATGAATGATAAAGCTGGTGGCCACAGGTACCAGAACAAAGAACGATAACTCCATGGCAACGGACACAGCAGCCACGAAACATGAACCAATACTGATACTGTCGACTGAAATATCACGCTACGTACGGACGCACAAATACTCCCCAACGTATCGAGTGTTAGGGAGGGGGTATGGAGGAGGACGGAGGACTGGGGGACTTCCCTTACATGTCGTGAGGGCCGAGGAGCCTCACCCACGCCCCAGGCAGCTGTAACCCCTCCCCACGTACCGGGCGGGTCGAGGGGCCGTCGCTCGGCGGCGGCCGCCTCCTGATCCAGCTGCAGCTGCGGCGCCAGGTGCGAGCAGTCGTAGGTGCCCGGCAGGCGCAGCGGCACCGCGGGGAACACGCGCAGCCGGCGCGCCAGGCTGCGCGCCGGCGCCAGCGAGTCGCGCAGCAGGCGCTGGTCGCGCTCCAGCAGCTCAGAGTCTGTCGGCGCGCAGCGGACCAGCCTCAGCCGAGCGGCATGGGGACACGGCACGGCCCCAACGTCTCACCGACTCCGCACGTAACCTACGTCAGCATTCAGTTGTCAGTTCCTCTGAGACACGTAGACCATTGCCAGTGAGGCGCCTATTAACGTTAGGACCAAGTCTTTTCAACAATACTTTGACTTCGACTCATGCCGAATTTCCGTTCGATTGCCAGCTCTGGCGTTCACAGAGTGCCACAGTGTAGCGGTGTAAGCCCTGGTTCGGCCGTCAGGCCCCTCCCTGTCCCCTGAGCTCACCTAGGGGACGGCAGTGCGGCTCTCCGCCCGGCTCTAGCGCCGGGGCCGCCGGGGCGGCCAGCGGTTCCACTCAGTCCCTCCCTGTCCCCTGAGCTCACCTAGGGGACGGCAGTGCGGCTCTCCGCCCGGCTCTGACGCCGGAGCCGCCGGGGCGGCCAGCAGCGGCCATCGGTTCCACTCCGCCATACAGAGCACCACGCTGGCCGGACAGCGACTCAGGTGAGCCGCCCGCTGGCGGCGTGCCAGCGTTACCTCGCAGCCGTACTCGACGTTAATGCACGGCACCTGCAGTGTGAGGGACAGCACGGGTCAGTGGGGGAGGGGACATAGGTGGAGAAGGAACATAGCCATTAGCCACGGTGATGTACAGGTATGTTCATTGAGCCGTACAGGTACGGCTAAGGGGAACAGCTGACGAAGGGGCACATAGCTTGGTTACCATGGCGACCAAAGTCTAACAGAGGCCAATGTGCATTGTGCACAAAGGAAAGCTCGCACCAGCAATCTGGTGGCAATTAATTACAAGTAATCACTTTAAGTAAGACCTAGACGGTATTTTAAAGAGGCACAGTCATCAAACAACCGCTTGTGTTTTTCAGCCTTCATAAGCCAAACAACCTGCAGATGACCAGGATGATATTTTCATTCAGATTCTTGATAGAAACAGCCGAGCGGGTATAACTGCCCTCCCCTCCCCACTGACCATAGACTCCCCTTCCCCACTGACCCGCTGTTCGGGACAGAGCAGCTGCCCCAGCCTCCCCCCCCCCCCTCCACTAACCCGCTGTTCGGGACAGAGCAGCTAGTGCTCGCCCCCTCCCCTTCACTAACCCGCGCTGTTCGGAACAGAGCAGCTGCCCCCCCCCTCTGTTCGGAACAGAGCAGCCCCCCCCCCTCCACTGACCCTCTGTTCGGGACAGAGCAGCTGCCCCCCTCCCGTCACTAACCCCCTGTTCTGGACAGAGCAGCTGCCCCCCTCCCGTCACTAACCCCCTGTTCTGGACAGAGCAGCTGCCCCCCTCCCGTCACTAACCCCCTGTTCTGGACAGAGCAGCTGCCCCCCCCCCCCCCACTGACCCTCTGTTCTGGACAGAGCAGCTGGTGCTCTGCCAGTTTACACTCGTGCAGCCGGTGGCCGCAGCCGGCCGGACAGACGATGACGTCACAGCGCTGCCCGGTCACGGCCGGCGCCTGGGCACAGCGGGACAGTTTGACGCAGTGCTGGCAGTGCTGGTGGAAGTCGCCGGCCGACTCCGGCGAGTCCATCGCGCTCCTGGAGGCGGACGGCACGGGTTAGGTGGGGAAATAGAAGAAAAGTGGAGTGCGTCAAACGCTCGCCGACCGCCGTGTAGCCTGTAGGTATCCTGTACTGGGCAATAACGGATAGCCACTTTATTTTTTTTTTGCGTTTTGTATTATCCCACCCAGTCGATGTGTTGCACCCCGGTCGCTGCCCGTCGTCCGCCGTCCTCTGGGGAGTTTGGGCCACTGACTGTCACTGGCCTCCGTCCTAGGTAAACGGTGGTCGGTGACCACAGGAAGACCCCAGGGGCCCCTCGCCGCCCCACACACGCACAACAAATACCGCACGCAGCAGTGGCGCAACGGCCACTGGAGCACCGAACAGTAACGATCGGGTTCGGCCCATCAGTTTGCTTAGTCGTTTACTGGTTATTATGCCGATTATTCAGTCGTTCAGTAAGGCCACATCGCGTGCATCATTCCCTGCCAGCGCAGGAAATGTGAATAATTTCTCTTCCGCTGTAGACTGTACCTATCGTATTGAAGTCTGGGGACCGGTGTGCTCCGATCCGATAGGGACTCCGATCGATGTGACTGAGCTAAATAATAAACCAATGTGACCTGGCAATGTGACTGATGTATAAGTAAAACAATATCAATTCGTGGCAACTTCTCATCATGGATTCAATTTCGGCACTCTGGCTTCGAGGAAGATGAACAACGACAAAAAATGACACTAAAAATTGAAACATGTTGCATGCTGTTGAACTGCTGAGAGGCTTGACAAACGAGAAAACGCCGAGCAAGACAGAACATTGACAATATCTATCCGTGTTTATGACACCTTTACAGCCTCCCGTGATCCGTTCGACCTGCAAATATTGCTGAGACCGGTAGAAGGGCTCCATAAGAAAAAAAAGAAAATATCCTAGAATGGGTATGTCTGGATGCAAGACATTGCGGAGTCTGGCAGAATGGCTTCTGACGGATAGGGACCGGCGTTAACACAAAGGTAACACAAAGGCACAAAAAAGTACCTATCTCTAGCGCCTGATCTGGGCTTTTGTTCGCTGCATCAAATTTTTATGCGAAAAGCAGGACGATAACTTCTGATGAGAGCAGGTTCCTACCATGCCTGCAAAATGACTGATCCGATTGAGGCGGGTATAATATGTAGATCTGTTCGATCAACTGAAAAAATAAAACCCGCGAACCGTTGCATTTTTATTTTGACACGACGTGACAAGTGTTCGTGGATCCGAATGTTCTACATGCCTACAGAAAATACGTATACGAGTAACGAATCAGCTATGACCACTTAGGGACCTACTACGATTACAAGGCTGCATAGCATCCCGGCACCTTACACCAGTGGAGTGCCTTTCAAGTGTCCTGTAGACCTGGCTCGGTCGGTTCAGAGCACCACTCTGCAGCGTCTTTACACCCATCCAGTTTAGTGAAGGGCGCCGGTTTACAGCCAGGCCGAGGCTCTGGCCACAGAGCTACCGCCGGGATAGCGGCGGCAGCGCCAGCCGCCCCGGCAGACCGGCCGGACGGACGGCGATGTCCGCCGGCGCCGCGCGGGCTCCCCTGCAGCGGCGGCGTGTATTGGCGGCCGCCAGCAGCTCGAGCAGGAGGCAGCCGACGGCCGCCAGAAGGCCGTAGCCCAGCAGCCGGAAGCCGGCGCTCAGGTGCTCCAGGCCGAGCACGACCACGGCGCGGCGGCGACACGTGTCGGGCAGCCGGCGGCAGCGGCGGCGCACGGCCCGCTCTGCCCGCTCGCGACGCGCCGCCTCGCCCTGCTGCAGCAGCCGCAGCACCAGGCCAGTCGGCTGCACGCGCCGCAGCAGCTCGTCCAACCGGCGCACGTACGGGGCGTGCTTCTGCGCCGGCCAGGCCACGAACGAGGGCATGTGCCGCTCCCGGCCGCGGTGCACCAGGTCCTCGGTCACGGCGCCGTCCGACGCCAGCATCGCGTCAAAGATGAGATTCATCACCGAGGGAGTCTCCTCGAGCAGCGCCACGCGCTCCCAGGTGCCCACCAGGTGCGCGAACGCCTCCACGTGATCCTGCTGCACCCAGCGGCGCTTCAGGGCGGTGGCCACCGAGCCATTCTGGACGTCCATCCAGGCCTGGTAGGCGCCGTAGCCCGGGTGGGTGACCAGCCGGTAGCCGTGCCGCACCAGGTCGGCGAACGACTCCGGCGCCCAGGCGCCCGGCGGCGCCGACAGCGTCGAGATCATGTTGGACGTATAGGCGGTGCGGTGGACGATGCTGCTGAGCAGCCAGACGGCCAGCAGCAGCGGGCCGGCCGAGCGGGCGGCGCGCGCCTCCTGGGCCACCAGCAGCCGGTAGCAGGCCTCCAGCTGACGGTAGCCGAGCTGCAGCCGGCCGGCGCCGCGACCAGCCGCCGAGCGGAGCCGGACCGCCAGCAGGACGGCAGTCACGGCCAGCAGGCTGACGCCGATCAGCGCCCAGACCGGCGGCGAGAGCAGGCCGGCGAAGTCGCTGCGCACCGGCAGCGGCACCGGCCGGCTGATGATCTCCAGGTAGGTGAGCGTCAGCGGCCGGCAGAAGTCGGCCGCCGTTTTGCGCAGCGGCGTCATGAAGATGCCGCCGACGGCGAGCTCGGCGCGGCCGGCCACCACCTCGCCCACCATGCCCACCCAGGTGCCGTTCTCCGGGTGGCCCCAGTTGCCGTCCGGGCTGCGGTAGAAGCGCAGGTGGAAACCCAGCTGGCGCGACATGGCCTCGAGCAGCACAGCGGCGGCCAGCGGCGCCGGCCGCAGGCACCTGCCGTCCACCTCCTGCGCGCACTCGAAGAACGGGCTGTAGTTCTCGTACACCACAGTCAGAGTGAGGTTGGTGAGGTCGTCCTCGGCCAGCAGCCAGTGACGGCTGGCGCCGACGCTCGAGCGGCGGAGCAGGCCGTCGGCGCCGCGCTGCACCACCTCCAGCTCGCCGCGGATCGTCTCCAGACACACGGGCCGGCCCACCCCGGCCCAGAGCGGGTGGCCCAGCGAGCGGCCGCAGTCGGGGGACAGGTGCAGCGCCTGGCCGCGGCTCCAGATGCCGGCCGGCGCGCGGCCCGTGTCGTCCAGACAGCCGGCCGCCTGCAGCAGCAGCAGGCGCGGCCCGGGCTCCTCCGAGTACAGCCAGCGGGCCGGCAGACCGGCCGGACAGGGTCCCGGCCCGCAGTCGGTCACCAGCAGACCATGCGGCCAGCGGAGAGCCGCCAGCAGCCGGTCCGGCAGCACCGGACCGGCGCCGCACGAGAGTACCCGCAGCGGCTGCCGGGCGGGCCGCAGCAGCTGCAGCACGGCGGCGGCTACCGGGCCGACCAGCGGGGCGCCCGTACCAGCAGACGGACCGACCGGGGCGGCATCGGTACCAGCACACGGACCGACCGGGGCGGAGCCGGTACCAGCAGACGGGCCGACCGGCGGGGCGGAGCCGGTACCGGAGGCCGGACCGACCGGGGCGGAGCCGGTACCGGAGGCCGGGCCGAGCAGCAACACCAGCAGCAGCAGCAGCAGCTGCCGGACGGCCGACCAGCGGAGATCAGCCATGGCGCAGCACCTAGCAGCTCCGGAACACCGTCCAGCCGGTGAATTGGCGTGCGCCGAGCGAACCAAAAGTTGCAGATTCTTCAGTCGAGGTAAAGGCTGCCGATGGACGGCACAGAGAGCCGACTGTTTCAGCACCAGTGCTGCCAGCACACTTGGAGGGGCGACATCGTCCACACGGTACAGAGCACCAGCGAAGCGACAGAAGAACTAGGGCGGATTTCTGTGTTTTGCGACAGCTCTCCCGTCAAAAATCTTGCACAAATTGAGCACTGGCCGACTACGAGACGCCATAGCTGTTCATTCAGTGGTCACTGTTCTGCTAGTTCTCTCACAGCTCATCTTAGTCGCAGGAAGAGGCCCCAAGGACTCTCTAGCCCGCCAGTGTCTCCCAAGTCACAGCTGCCGCGCTGGGGTCGTCATCGGGCGGCTGGCCACCCGAGACTGAGCGGCGGGACGCGGACGGTCGGAGGCCGCCACCGCAGACGCTTCCGTGACGTCACGTCGTCACCGGCCCCTCCCCCTCACCCCTGTCCTGTCCCCATGCCGACTGTGTGGGCGGGGGGAGGGGGAGGGGGGCACGCAGTTTTGCAAAAGCAACAGCGCGCAAGATATCGGGCATGAAAACAACTAATGAGAAGTTTACGTCAGAAAGAGGCAAATCATTCATCGACCAAACATGGGTCACTCACAACTCAAAACAGTGCTTGTGAGCCCAATCCCGCATCATAGGCGGTGCGCTGCGCTGGAATATTGAACAGATTCTGCGTGGTAACGCAATATTGTGTCTCCGGGAACGCAGCGCCGTCAAACCTCGCCGTTTTTCGGCCGTAGCCGTTCAAATCGACCCCGGTCGCCGTTCATCCCCATCGCTCTCCTCCACTGCTGATTAACGACCCAGAAGCCTAACCGATCACCGGCGAACTAACGAAATAAAACTGGCCCGTCCCCGGAGAATAGCGGCGATTGTAGCCGAGTCCATAATCAGCCGGAGCATTTAACCGCCGGCTGTACGCATCTCATTACCTCGAGCGAATCCAAAGCCCATCGGGAGTAGCGGGTTCGGACGGAACACCAGCCTAAAGAACAACCTACTTTGTGTGAATGGCGGTCAAGAAAATCGATGTCGTCAAATATCACGTAATGCATCGATAAGTAATAGGAGTAGGTACTCTTTCAGCGCTACAAAGTATCTGCTCACTAATGAAATTACTTAAAAAGAAATAAATAAAACAAAGCACCTAACATTTTGCAGGGTCTACTATTATTATCAGCAGACAGGTAAATTCATTCAAGAACCCTACCTATGTATCGTGAGGTGACCCACCACGGGTCATCCATGGTGTTAGGGCCTTGGGTTATCCCTCTCCTTTGTCCGTGACACAGTCTTTATCAACAATCTAACTTCTAAATGGCACGCGTTTGGAGCAATAGGTATGTCTTTTTGACAAAGACATCAGGAATGCGCCTGAGCCCCATAATTTGCCATCATTACGTTAAAGGAAATAGTTCACTTTCACGAAATTATTTTTTTTTGCAACGATTTATGATTTTTTATGTTCAAAATAATCAGCAAAGAAAATAAAACCTTTTTATAACAAAATATTTTTTTTTCTATATTTTGATATAGGAAGAACTTTTCAGTTTCTGTAAGGCACACGCGATCCAGTATGAAAAGAGCATGGGTCCCGAAAATTCTTCAGAAACAGAGAAATTATCGCAGCCACCGGCATTTGGGCGATCTGCTCGATCTGATAATGTTCCCCTGAATGTCCTAATTGATCAGTACGAGAATTTCTCTAGAGTTCTCGTAGATAATTTCTCTAGTTTCTGAAGAATTTTCGGGACCCATGCTCTTTTCATACTGGATGGAAATATATGCAAGGCACACATCCTCAACGCAAGACACCTTTTTCGGGACGAGAAATAGAATATCTTTGCCTAGGGTGATGGTTGGGCTGTAAAAGCTCCTGATTTATGCTCGTCTCAGCCCAAGCTACGGAACTGCTATTCCAGTTCAAAACCCATGTTAAAAAGTGAACTATTTCCTTTAAAACGGCCGCATATTAGGAGCCTGGACAGTCAGAAGCTCATAAATGCTGAACCATACAGCAGCAAATACCGATTCCAAATGACCAACGAATGCGCCCGTGCAATTTGTAAATGTCACATAATTGGAAAATCAATAGCCGTGGGAACAATAGCGCTGAATACCCGATTAGACATGGCTCTCTAGCGCAGATTGTTGAGTACTCAGTACCTACAACCGTAACCGGTAACGGCCCGGTCCATGTTTGCCAGCCGCCGGATGATGCGGCTAAAACTGACTGTTATTGACCATCAATTACCACAGCAGCACATCAACTGCTGTTTGATGTTCCCCACACAAACACATCGACTACGCCGCGACAATGAAAGGCGGACCATTACACAAGCTGATTGAGTGCGATACCGGCCGCAGTGTCAATTAAAGCCACAACCGATACTTAAATTACGGGTGAACGGCCCACCTCACAATGTGAACCCGATGCCAACCAAAGACAGCGCCCCGCAGTTCACAGGGCGGGGGTTTTGGGTGCATCAGCCGGGCTGAGGTCGTATGGAGCCATTACCGTTGCTTTGTTCATTTGGCATGGTATTATTTACCTTACACAATGAACTTTATAATATATTCAACCCAGAAATATTCAACCCAAGTGAGTGAGGAAATTCCATTAAAATGAACATGTAAATGTGACATCAAATTTTTCTTTTAAAAACATAGGTGGGATCTGTACTCTTGATGACTGGAATGGGTGACAACCAAGATGAATTTATTAACGAGCCTGATGACTGAAGCTGAAGCTGTCCTTGTTGCACGGCACCATGGGACCCCTTGTCGGCCCCACAACCGGCGCCGACTTAGTCATGGCAGTTTTGGCCTAATGCAGCCCGGTGCCACAGTCCTCTCAGACATTTTGCAGTGGAATATTCTCTCACAAAGTGTCAACTGGCAGTCTGGCTGAAGGCTCAAGCCCAATTTGGGTATGTTCAGAAAGTCAAGTTCAGAAAGTCAAGTCAGGTCATGTGTTCATATGAAAGTCAGATTTGACCTAACCTAAGTAAACAAGCCTGACTTTATGCTAGTTGTAAGATTTAGAAGAATTGGTGAAAACATTTGCACAAGCACAAACACACCTTTTGACTAATTGCTCCAATATTGGTAAAGTCCTATTATTTTTCTAGCTTTCATTGACATGAGGATTGGAGAGTTGAATTTTGGGTGATTCTTGAAGTTTTAAGTTTTAACAATAAAAGATAAATTGTCATTAGAATAAATTTATCTCAAAGCACAAGGCAGCCTGCTGATACAGTGCCTATATCAAATCTATGATAATTTAGACTGCTTGCAAAATCTTGAGTAGGCAGGCTTGGCCATTACTTGCAGCTTTTCCACTGGGTAGTGATAAGTGCCATTCAATTGTCATTTTATATCAGCACGATGCCAGTTTTCCCATATGAGGAAGTTCATTGCTGACCTTTCGGTGGTAGTAAAGCAGACGTCACACTTGCTTTTGCAACCAAGGAGAGGCGTTATACCTGATGATGCTCCTTTCTAACCAAACCAAACCAAACCAAAACACAACAAATCTGACCTTACCTGACATAACCTTCAACTACTTCAACACATAACCTACAACCTACAACCTACAGAAGCAACTCGGGGTATAGCACCTCTCCTTGGTTGCAAAAACAAGTGTGACACCTGCTTTACTTCTACCGGGCTTTCTTGGCCTCCATTTGGTCAAATCCAGACCATATGAATTTGACCAATGGAAAGCCAAGAAATAAGCCATAAAAGCGGGATGGCATGACAGCCTGTTGCTAAAAACAAAAAGTGAGCAGCAACTAATTTTCTTGGCACAGTGCAGATTATACAAACAGCAGCTGGCATTGACAACCTCCACCAGAACATCAATATACATCAGCCTGAGCAACAACACTCCATCCTCCTGCACAAGTAGTCTTATAATAGTTAATGGGAGGAGGATAAACAAATTATCAGACTAAAAGAAGAACATATAAATCATGAGTTCTAGCAAACACTCAAAGTTTGTGGACCAGAAGCCAGTTCAAGGTTGAACAACAGAAAATAGCTACCTGCCAGAATTTTTTGCCTCAGTCAAAAGTGCTTCACATACGGAGCATAAACAGTAAAGCCCCACCCGCTTACGTGCCCATCGCGATTACGCTCCGCCTATGCGAAGCGGTCTTAAGGCAACAAAATTCCAGCAAAGGGATATTTTTCTGTTTACCAAACTGGCCTCAGAAGAGAGCATACCTACCTGCTTTGAAGAGCCTGACTTCAAATTCAGGTTGGAATAGATGTTATCTCCGGCCGGATGTCGCCGACTGGCGACTAGTTACAGGTTTCAGCTGCAAACTGTGTCGAAGCAATCACAGGAAAGAACTCTGTAAGTATACCAGACTTCTTAGTGGCTTCAACTAACCAGTATTGGTATGCAAAAATACTTATGAAATAATTACACCTAATTGTAATCAATGCCGCCAATGCTAGTTGCTTTAGCATAACAATAAGGCCCTCTCTTGAGCCCTCCTGTCATTTGTGTTCGACAAAGAATGTTAAAAAAACAGTTAATCTCAAGTTACCAGGCAACTGGGAAAAATACTCCACAAATGTTGAGTTTTCCCTAAGGTTGCCTAGCAATGAGCTGCTGAAAATAGCTGGCGACTAAATCGAATACGATGTGGTAAAATATGCTCGCCGGAAATGTGACAAATGCATCAAAACTGTCTCGTCATTGCTACCATATGTACGAGCTACCATATTGTTAAAATTCTCGGTAAAGCAATTCCTTCGCCTGTAACAGAATGTGGGCCATGACTGGGCCATGACCAGAGCCAGGGGGGGTTCATCGCCATAGGGACACACGTACAAGGAAATTGCTACCAAATGCTGCCAATGTGACGTCACTGGGATGCTCGAAAGCTGATTGGTCGCCGAGATTCGAGTAATGTAGTCAATTCTGGCGCACCGGCGCAGTGTTTTCCGACCGTTGCGTGTTATTACTTTGGTTGCTATGCAAAGTTTTAATATGTTGGTTCAATAATATAAACACATTTTCATGTGTTTGAAGCATAGGTGTAGCAACGTATCTCTTTGGTGAAGGATACCTTTCACCAAAGTTTCAGATTGGTGAAGGATCCTTCACCAATCTTGGACAATGCAAGGGAGGGTCTTCACCTACCTATGCTTAGAACTACTGGATTCGACGGTTGATCAAATGTCTGTTTTTTAACCCGCGCCCGGCTGGGGGTCCTGGATTTCCACGCCCTGCTGGGGGGGGGGGGGGTGTTTGAACACCCCCCCCCCCTTCTAACTCGGCTCCTGGGCCACGTAGCGATACGCGGAAGGCGGCGTTCGAAAGAGCGCCAAAAATAATGACGAAATCACTTCGGTCACTTTTTTGGTCAGGTCAAAGGTCAGGTCACTAGAGGTCATTGAAGGCAAAATTTCGCCGATTTCCAGGTCGAATGTCGACAATTTCCAAGAAGCCAACGCATAGCTCGGGAACCAATAGAGCTACAGCGCCACGGAAAAGCGCATTCGATGGCCCTATTAACGCCCTTTCTGAGTAATTCGCTCAGATTTGACCTAACGTCAACGGTTTTGCCTGCAGGGGGCAAAAACTGCCAAAATAGACGATTTTTCGGGAACAGTTTTTTTCTGCAATAACTTTTGACCCAAGCCTTGCACGAGCTTTCTTTTACCGACATCGTGTTCCTCTTGTCGCATCGAATGAACTATAATTTGACATTGAAAGTTCAACTTAAAAATTTGACCTCTGCTCTGGTCAAGGTCATGATTTGACCGGACATTGTCATGTTGCATATCAGTGGATCTGTATCGTCGAGCTGAACATATATAAGACGTTTTCATCGCTCTAGCGTGCCTCTTTCAAAAGTTAGTCGCAAAAAACTGCTAGATACCATTCGTGACCTGAGATGACCTCAGGGGCATAAACAGGGGTCACGGGTGCCGTTTTCATGTTCAGTGTGTCAAAGTTACTTGTAATTTAGTGTTTGAGAGTGTTTAGAATGACTTTCGTCCGAAAAGGACGGTTTTGAATTTTCTCCCATTGACTTATAATACCTAGAGAGGTCGCAAAATTGACCCGACCCTAGGTCACCGATATGAAAATTCCGAATTTTGTACATACTGTTGCACTTATCAATTGCTGAAAGCTTCAAAGCGATCCGTCACTTGGTGTAGCTATGGCATACATTGAAACATTTTATGATGTGTTTATGAGGTGAGGTCACTAGTAGCGACCTGGTGACCTGACCTTGAAGGACCCTGGTCTGAAATTTTCACAAAATGTATAACATTTGTAGATGATAAGGTGCCGCCGTTTTTCAGATATCCGCGAAAAACCGCAGGGGGGTGGGTGAGTGTTCAAGTTAACCCCCCCTCCCAGCAGGGCGCGGGTTAACACACTTTGACCATTTGCCCCAGTAGTCAAAATTCCTTAGCCGAGGCCCTGATTTACATCTTGCTGTCATGGCAAGATGCACAATTCAATTTTAGGCAGGCATTGAAAATTTGACGTTAATGGGATGATAAGGGCGTAAGATATCTGCGAAAAACAATGGGTTGGCGAAATTGCCCCCCCCCCCCCCGCTTGCACTATGCGTGTTGGTTGGCACGGTCCTGTCCCTTTTCATAAGGTTCAGGTGGCATCCTTCACCAATATTTTTGGCGCTCCTACACCCATGGTTTGAAGGTCGCAAAAGCTTAACATAAGTGGCAACCACACTTTGTATTACGTTTCGTCTCATATATCATGAAGAACAACCAAGTATTTCAAGGTGGGAACATGCTGAGGAACCTCAACCAAGCTATTCATTTTGCAATGGATCTTAACATAATCTGGCGTTTTTTAAAGTTTCCATTTTTGCAATTAAGCTGGTAGGTAATAATTTTTCAGTGCTCGCAGTGCGCATAAGTACCTTGACCTAACATGATACACTCAACAAATAAAATGTTTAGAGAAAGCACGCAATGTAAACAAACTAGTGCTACAATGGCAAATTGAAATATAAATGAGCTCTTTACTTTTTAGTATTAAAATTTAAATTGTATATAGTATGGTCACATACTGCGGGCTGGGTTCATCTCAGTCTCGTTGCAATGTTATCAGAGCTGTAAAAATGAAAACAAATGTTTTTGCATGGTATTATTGTTTATTTTCAAATTGGTCACTAAAGTTATTTCATGGGTAGGTGCTTACTGCTTAATCTTATTCAAATTTATTTATTAGTTGCTTGTACTGTCAGCATGATGTTAGCCAAATTTGTTTGTGATGAGAGTTTTCTGTTTACAGGAAAGCTGAGGCGAGGGCGAGTAGGTCCCTGAGGAGGACCACTGCAAAGGAGGTCAAGGAGATTCTGGGGGCAACCTGCGAGCAACCTCTAAACCAGCCAGCAGGGACCTCTGACAAGTAAGTCTAATGGTTTATGTTTTCACTCACATTAAAAGTGCTCACAAATATCCATCAGTGTTAAAAATCCTGGCCCGTCTTGAGCGACACCATTTTAATTCCCATTGGTGAAATGCATCAAAACATTCTTTTTGCCATGAGTAATGGTAACTTTTTGTCGGCATAAGGCCGCCACTCAATCCAATAAGGTGATGTCTCAAGTCACATCCACTAAATGTTCTGATAATGACCTATGCTGGTCCTAACTAGTGCTTAGAAAAAAACTGAGTTGTTTCAGTCTTGGTTGATGTTTGAACAATTTTATACGCAGTGTTTTTTTCCTTCTGAAAAGTGCCATGCTAATCACGAGCGAATTCGTGGGCAGTCGCCAAACGAGGCTTAAAGGGACACTCCCACCTTAACATTAGTTTTGAGTTGAGATAGCCAAATTGGTGGCCATGGCCTGCAAATACCGGTTTGGGCACTCACAACATCGACAAATGCTTTAATTCGGAGATATGGAATTTCAAACTTGCAGTTTTTGGATTCTAAGGGGCTAGTGCATTAGTATGCCCCCTTAGAATTTGTGACGTCAGCGGAGATCTAACGATTTTCAAATCTTTTACTAAAACGTTTGGTAGCACGCGGTGGTATATGCTGCTTTGCGCGCAACAAATGCCGCACTTTCAAATAAAGTCGCTAGGAACAGCGGAGATCCCAAAAAGTAAACAAAAGTAAAAGTCTAATATCTTGAAAACCGGTGAATATTTTTCGATGAAATTTGGTAGATATTCGTTTTCGCTCTTTCTGAACCGAGCGACATCACTTTCGTGCCAATTCATTAACTTTTTTGAAGGTGGGAGGGTCCCTTTAATAGTAACGGGAAAATGGATTAATGCAAAGCCAAAGGGCATGCATTTTTCGTTGTCCGCGAAATCTGTCACTTTCAGTGCGTAGACTAGGCTCATTTAAGTGTTAACGTTTTTTCTTTTGTTGCACAATATTTAATTGTCAATGTCTTTCAAGTGATGTAGCGTAATACTGCTTTCACAGTGCCGCTGCCGGTGTCGACACTGGCAGCCATGGCCGGCGCCGAGCTGACGAGTTCCAACCTGGAAGCTCAGCGCGAGGGGCTGGCATTTGTTGCCGGCTTCGTGGCATACAAGTGTCACCACATCGACGCCACCCCCGGTAGCCGGTCTCCTGACTTCTCGGGCGCCGCTGGAGACACTGAACACCCTGCCGAACAGCTGAATTGTGACGATCAGCCGAGGCCAGCTGTTTGTTCTGTCACAAGCCTGGATGGCCGCTGTGGAGGAGTTCGAGCGGAACTTCTGCCTGCTGATGGGGGCAACTGCAGATCAGGGGCCGCGAGTCATATGGCGTCTCAAGCTGTTCATCGCCGTCAAGCAGCCTCAGCTCGGCACCCGCGTGTCCAGGAAGTTGGCGAGCACCCGTCTCCACCTCCCCCTTCGGTCCCTTAGCCTGACTGGACGAGGTCCGGCAGCTGAAAAGAGCCGACAGAAAAGTTGGCCATCATGCAAGGAGCTCTAGGTGAGCTGGTAAACCGGCTCGTGTAGCGACTACGAGTCGGCGTGGTGCTGTGTGACTCGGTGTGGTGCGGCCGGCTCTGTGTGGGTGCTGTGCGACTCGGCATGGTGCCTCCGGCTGTGTGTAACGGCTTTGCGACTCGATGTGGTACGGCCGGCTCTGTTGGTGCTGTGCAACTCGGCATGGTGCCTCCGGCTGTGTGTAACGGCTGTGCGACTCGGTGTGGTACTGCCAGATCTGTTGGTGCTGTGCAACTCGGCGTGGTGCCTCCGGCTGTGTGTAACGGCTGTGCGACTCGGTGTGGCACGGCCAGATCTGTTGGTGCTGTGCAACTCGGCGTGGTGCCTCCGGCTGTGTATAACGGCTGTGCGACTCGGTGTGGCACGGCCAGATCTGTTGGTGCTGTGCAACTCGGCGTGGTGCCTCCGGCTGTGTGTAACGGCTGTGCGACTCGGTGTGGCACGGCCAGATCTGTTGGTGCTGTGTGACTCGGCATGGTGCCTCCGGCTGTGTGTAACGGCTGTGCGACTCACTGTGCGACTCGGCATTGGGTAACGGCTGTGCGTCTCGACATTGTACCACCAGCTGTGAGTAACGGCCACCCGTAAGCGAAACTTATAATATTTAGTGAAAATGTTTATTCGATTTTTCTCAGCAATGCAACTTAAGTGCATCCGTCCTGAGCGCCCTAGCAGGGCAGCGGAGCCGATGTAATTTCGGTGACTACTGACTCCTGACTTCTAGTTCCAAAAACTAATTCCGACTCCTCAGGGCTGCGGAGTCGGAGTCGGAGTCGGTCGGAGTCGACAGTTGTGACCTGAGTCGGAGTCGGAGTCGATTTTAGACACCCGAGCCGGAGTCGGAGTCGGAGTCACCGAAAATCTGTCGACTCCGCAGCCCTGCTAGGTCTGCGGAGTCGGAGTCGGTCGGAGCCGACAATTCTGCCCGGAGTCGGAGTCGGAGTCGCAGCTGGTTTTTGAAAGCCGGAGTCGGAGTCGGAGTCACCGAAAATCCATCGACTCCGCAGCCCTGCGACTCCTACTCCGGGCAGAACTGTCTATTCTGACCGATTCCGACTCAGACTCCGGGCAGCCCTGCAGCTCCGCAGTCTGCGGAACCGATGAATTTTTGGTGACTTCGACTCTGACTCCGGCTCCGGCTTCCAAAAACGACTCCGACTCCGATTCCGGCTCCAGTTCGACTCCGATCAAAGTCCGGTCCCAACTCCATAACCCTGCGCCCTGGGACCCATACAAGCCTCGCTGGTTTCGGCCCGCTTTTCCTGGACGTGACCTTATATCACTATTACTCACTTTAAAATGCGACATATTTTCAATTTCTAGTGCGAAAAGTGCTCGCGATAGCTTTTTGGGCGTTATAACACGAAAAAATGCCACCGAAAAGTTCGTAGTAATGCTCTATACATAGGCCGGCCGCGGCGGGAGCACCCCAGTGACGTCATCCGGGGCCGGTAGGGGGAACGTAAAAAATTCCCTAATGAACCTACCTGGTATATAGGGCCTTGACCAGAGCAGCGATAGTAACGTAATCTTGGCAGCGATTGCAGCTGTGACGTGAAATTCAAGCATTTATTTGGCAAATATGCTTGCATCGAAAAAGAGCGTGTGAATAAACAAAACTATGTGATGTATAGGTGCATGGAGCAGTGAAGGAATCTTGGGTGCATGTAAGGCCTAGACTTCTGAATTCATTTTAAAAGGGATAAAAATGCAAGAAATTATCCAACGATTCGCATTTATTGCTTAGGCATGGGTGTGACTAAGCACCCATTTAAATTCAAATGTTTAGGCCTTACATGCACTTATATATCACATCTGTCATTTGATAATCCTCAAACAAAACTATGCTGTATTTGCCTCAAACAAAATTACGTTGTATTTGCCGTGTATTGTGCGCTTGCATTCGCGACCTAGCCCAACTAGAAATTGATCAAAGTTTCTGCTTACATTCGAAATTAAATATTTCAAAATACAAATGGCATAGGATATAGCACACACAAGTGTAAACAAGTCTGTGGACATAACAATCCAAAAGTACTCCTTATAATTTCAGTGGAGGAAAGATCCTGATAAGGGCACTTTTTTGTTGGACATCATGTAAGGTCAGTGTGAAAACTGAAAACTGTAACAAACCTTTGTAAAGTCAGCAGCTGCGGCGATAAGAAAAATAACGACCTCAGGCATAGAGCTCACGACTGCACATATCATCAGTCTCCAAAGGAACCCTTTGGGAAGACTGTGCCTAGTGTTTGACGACAGATTGACGCGCGCGATAATTCACCGTCAAATATAGTTCTTTTCGTCCAACTATTTCATAAAGCCTTCTCCAAACGCACACAACTCGTCAGGGTGGCGCTCTCGGCACCGTGGACCCCTTCCCCATTCACCCACCGGTGAACCAGGCGGCCAATGTTCCCTCGCGTCTCCGGGGGCCGCTCCCCCACGGGGAGCTTCTCCGGGGAGCTACTCCATCATGTCGGCACCCTCGCCGCCGGTGGCGTCCTCGCCCAGCTGCAGGTCCTCCAGCATTTCCTGCAGGGTCACCTGGGGACCCTCGTAGCCGCCCTCGTCGTCCAGGTCCACGGCCACCTTGGTGGCGTCGCGGTAGATATTGACGTTGCCGCGCACACTCGGGTCCTCCTCCAGGTCCTCGAGGAACTCGGCGTAGTCGCGGTCCTGGCTGCCCGTCTCGGCGTCGTCGCGCAGGTGTTTGAGCTTCCAGCGGCGGCGGCGGTGGCGCGCCGCCGGGTCCGCGAACACCTTCTTCACCAGCAGCACGTCGGGCAGCTTCTCCTCGGACATCGCCTCCAGGTGGTCGTTGTTGACGTTGCTGTTCTTGAGGTCGAGGCCGAGCACCAGGTCGCCCGGTTTGAGCAGGTGTCCGAGGTGGGAGCGCGTGTGGATGGCGGCGTCCTCCTGGCCCAGCTGGCTGCTGCGCACCACCCACACATCGGCCACCTGGTGGCGCGTGCTGAGCGCCCCCTGGCCGGCGAACGTGCGCCGCTCGCCGCCGCGCTGCACCTCGCAGTCCATCACCACGAACTCCGTGAGCTGGCGCGGCCCGCCGACAGCGCCGAACGGCTGCCGCCAGTACTGAGCGCCCGACACCTCTGCCACCTGGCCGGTGCTCGGGTCGATCAGACACACCACGTTGGCCACCCGGAACACCACGCACAGCTGGCCGATGCCGCCCATCTGGTGGGCCAGCCGGCGCGGCAAACACACCACCGTGTCCTTGCACACGGGCACCAGCTCCACGCTCAGCGTGAACTTGTAGTTGTACGTGTTGTTGCGCACGTCGTGCGAGATGAGCTTCTTGGAGGTCTGCGTCCGGCACGGCACCACCGACTCCACGAACGAGACAAACTTGCGCGCCTGCGCCTCGTTCGCGAACATAAAGTCGAGCCCCTCGTGCACCGGCTTTATATTCACTGTCTGTTCGTGCATTTTGTGTTTCAGTATCAACTGCTCCAGGTAGTAGAAAGTCTTTTTGTTCTGGCCCTTCATGCGCAGCTGCACTTGCGCCTTCCAGAAGTCCTTGGCCTCGGCGCGGTGGCAGTCACCGCACATCTGTGTGTTGACGACAAACTCGACGATGAACACCTGCTGGAGGATGGTGCCGTTCATCACCTCCTTCTGGATCGTCAGCTTCACCTTGATCCGGCGCGAGTGCGGCTCGGTCCACACGAACGCCGCGTCCACCAGACGCACCTGTGACAGGCCCTTCAGCTTCTTCAGACACAGCGCCAGCAGCTCGCGGGTCTCCAGCGCGCACTTGACCCACGAGTCGGGCGGCTGCAGGTAGCGCTCGCAGCTCTTGCAGAAGTAGAGTACGGCCTGCTTGGGGATGCCATCCGTGATGTCCACGTGGGTCCGCAGGCAGGCCACGCACATGCTGGTGGGGTTGGGCTCGATGGGCGTGCCGCATTCGCAGCAGAGGATCCGCGACAGCGTCGGATCGGCCGCCACAAACGCCACGTCTCCCTCCATTTTAATGCGGCGTGTGTCTGGAAGAGACAGACAACATGTAAAATGACGATAATAACTCAAGTTTATTGTATAAGACAAAGCTTTCGATACATAAAGTATCTTGATCACTGTCAATGAGATGTAGAATATTTGAAAATTCACAAATAACAAAAACCGACGCAAGTCGTTGCATTTCTTTCTTCCTAACATGTGACATTCACCCTATGACACTTTCACTGCTAATTTTGCTGCTATGCTAGACCATGTAATAAACCCGTTTCTTGTGTTGAACGTATTTCTTGACATGATATGAGCCGCTTCGAGACATTTTCGTTTTCGTTTCTTCATATTTCGTTCCAATATTTTGGTATCGTCCCACTTCGGCAGGTGCTGGCATTCTTCTATGTGTAGTACGATCGCATTGGAAGTCCGGTGAAATTTGACATCGCTCTTATGTTCCTGTAATCGCGTTTTTAATCCCCTTCCTGTCTCGCCTACGTAAGTCTTATAACACCCCGAACAAGGCACTTCGTAAACAATGCTCTTCTCGGAGCCTTCGTTTTTCTCTTTTCTTTCTAATATGTTCTTGATTTTCTGTCCTGAGTTCGTAGCAATCCGCACACCTATGCTCTCTAGTTGTTTTGAGATGGCATTCGCTTCTCTTGAATAGGGAATCGTTATCCATCTATCAGGCTTGTCTGTACGCTTCTTCGTTTGTCCTCTCTTCTTTTTCTTGACGATTTCTTCTGCTTTTTTCCTCTGCTGTATCAGAAAACCCTTTGGGTACTTCAATCTTTCAAAGGTCTCGTATATGTGCTGAAGTTCTTCTTGTAAGTAGTCATCATCACAAATCCTAAACGCTCTAAGGAAAAAGCCAATAACTATACCACTTTTCACCCTGTCTGCATGAGCCGAATAAAAATGCACGTAATCTTCCTTATTGGTAGGCTTTCTGAAAACTTTAAATTTGAAGTTGCTGTCTGTCCTCAAGATGGAAGTGTCTAAAAATGGCAGCTGGGCGTTCTGTTCCTTCTCCAATGTAAACTGTATCTTTGGGTTAACAGCATTCAAGAGGTTCAGTTTTTCGTCCAAGTCCATGTCTTGTGGTACCACTACCAAAACATCATCCACGTACCGCATCCATTCTGAATCAGGGCCGATTATATCTAGAAGTCGTGACCGTTCTAAATCTTCCATATAGAGACACGCGCCAATGGAGCTCAGCGGTGACCCCATGGCTAACCCACTGTGTTGAACGTATTCTGATTTGTTAAACTTGAAACATCCAAACCGCATGCATAATGTCACCATCTGCATGTACTGGTCTCTTGGTAATGGCAGGATGTTGTCATCTGTGGCATCTACTACTTTTTTGATGGCGTCTAAGGCCCCATCTACAGGGACGTTTGTGAATAGGGCTGACACATCAAAACTGGCCAGCTTCTTGTTAGAGATGTCGTTTACTTCTTTTAGTCTCTGCATCATGTCGTTCGTGTTCCGAATATGAGCCGTACTCAGTGACCCTAATGCTTTGGTGAGTGGTTTGGCCAAAACTTTAGCTATGTTGTGGGGAGCGCTTCCGATGCCGGATATAATTGGTCTCATAGGCATACCCTGCTTGTGCACCTTTGGTAAGCCCTTCATTCGTGGTGCTGTTGGGGCTTCTTCTAGTAAGTGGTATAATTTCTTCCCTCTTTCAGACGTTTTAAGAACTTTCCGTGCTTCTTTGTTGAACAGTTGACTTTGTTTTTCCGTATGTCCTACCGGCTTCTTTTCATATGTTTCCGAGTCATTCAACAGTTCATCCATCTTGGTCACGTATTGTTGCTTATCCATGATGATGATTCCGCCGCCTTTATCTGCTTGAGTTACTACTATGTTGTCGTCGTTTGCTAATTTTTGTAGAGCACGCATATATCTTTTGGGCAAACTGCTAGGTTGCTGGTCGGCCATAGCTTTACAACATGCTAAAATACCTTGGATGAATCCCTTATCTGCATCGGTGTCGTTCCACTTATAGTTCCTTTCAATATGTTCTGCAAACGAGTACTTATCTCTCCCGGCATCAAATTTCAAGCCCAATGAAAGAGCCTCCTTTTCGTTGTCAGATAATGACCGTGATCTTTCATTGGGCTTGAAATTTGATGCCGGGAGAGATAAGTACTCGTTTGCAGAACATATTGAAAGGAACTATAAGTGGAACGACACCGATGCAGATAAGGGATTCATCCAAGGTATTTTAGCATGTTGTAAAGCTATGGCCGACCAGCAACCTAGCAGTTTGCCCAAAAGATATATGCGTGCTCTACAAAAATTAGCAAACGACGACAACATAGTAGTAACTCAAGCAGATAAAGGCGGCGGAATCATCATCATGGATAAGCAACAATACGTGACCAAGATGGATGAACTGTTGAATGACTCGGAAACATATGAAAAGAAGCCGGTAGGACATACGGAAAAACAAAGTCAACTGTTCAACAAAGAAGCACGGAAAGTTCTTAAAACGTCTGAAAGAGGGAAGAAATTATACCACTTACTAGAAGAAGCCCCAACAGCACCACGAATGAAGGGCTTACCAAAGGTGCACAAGCAGGGTATGCCTATGAGACCAATTATATCCGGCATCGGAAGCGCTCCCCACAACATAGCTAAAGTTTTGGCCAAACCACTCACCAAAGCATTAGGGTCACTGAGTACGGCTCATATTCGGAACACGAACGACATGATGCAGAGACTAAAAGAAGTAAACGACATCTCTAACAAGAAGCTGGCCAGTTTTGATGTGTCAGCCCTATTCACAAACGTCCCTGTAGATGGGGCCTTAGACGCCATCAAAAAAGTAGTAGATGCCACAGATGACAACATCCTGCCATTACCAAGAGACCAGTACATGCAGATGGTGACATTATGCATGCGGTTTGGATGTTTCAAGTTTAACAAATCAGAATACGTTCAACACAGTGGGTTAGCCATGGGGTCACCGCTGAGCTCCATTGGCGCGTGTCTCTATATGGAAGATTTAGAACGGTCACGACTTCTAGATATAATCGGCCCTGATTCAGAATGGATGCGGTACGTGGATGATGTTTTGGTAGTGGTACCACAAGACATGGACTTGGACGAAAAACTGAACCTCTTGAATGCTGTCAACCCAAAGATACAGTTTACATTGGAGAAGGAACAGAACGCCCAGCTGCCATTTTTAGACACTTCCATCTTGAGGACAGACAGCAACTTCAAATTTAAAGTTTTCAGAAAGCCTACCAATAAGGAAGATTACGTGCATTTTTATTCGGCTCATGCAGACAGGGTGAAAAGTGGTATAGTTATTGGCTTTTTCCTTAGAGCGTTTAGGATTTGTGATGATGACTACTTACAAGAAGAACTTCAGCACATATACGAGACCTTTGAAAGATTGAAGTACCCAAAGGGTTTTCTGATACAGCAGAGGAAAAAAGCAGAAGAAATCGTCAAGAAAAAGAAGAGAGGACAAACGAAGAAGCGTACAGACAAGCCTGATAGATGGATAACGATTCCCTATTCAAGAGAAGCGAATGCCATCTCAAAACAACTAGAGAGCATAGGTGTGCGGATTGCTACGAACTCAGGACAGAAAATCAAGAACATATTAGAAAGAAAAGAGAAAAACGAAGGCTCCGAGAAGAGCATTGTTTACGAAGTGCCTTGTTCGGGGTGTTATAAGACTTACGTAGGCGAGACAGGAAGGGGATTAAAAACGCGATTACAGGAACATAAGAGCGATGTCAAATTTCACCGGACTTCCAATGCGATCGTACTACACATAGAAGAATGCCAGCACCTGCCGAAGTGGGACGATACCAAAATATTGGAACGAAATATGAAGAAACGAAAACGAAAATGTCTCGAAGCGGCTCATATCATGTCAAGAAATACGTTCAACACAAGAAACGGGTTTATTACATGGTCTAGCATAGCAGCAAAATTAGCAGTGAAAGTGTCATAGGGTGAATGTCACATGTTAGGAAGAAAGAAATGCAACGACTTGCGTCGGTTTTTGTTATTTGTGAATTTTCAAATATTCTACATCTCATTGACAGTGATCAAGATACTTTATGTATCGAAAGCTTTGTCTTATACAATAAACTTGAGTTATTATCGTCATTTTACATCTGTCATGGATTCGTTACAATAGACAGACAACAGTAAGTTGAAAACAAGTGACACTTCTTATTGAGGTTGGATGGGCGTTAAGCATGCAAAACTGCACTGCAAAGCACTTCTAGCTCCTCCCATTGGAATACATGACATTATTTTTGCTCCTTAATTGCAGTTGAAGCAGTGCAAGTTGGGAGCAAGAATAAAGACATGCATTCCATTCCACTGAAAGGAGTGAGACTGTGGTTTATGCACACAAGTGCTGTGTTCCAGCCCTTAAAGTCAAGTTTAAGCATTATCATACATTCCAGTGGACACAGCCTGAACTGTCCATCAATGCCAATGCAGCAGTGTCAGCTAAGAAGCAAAACATTTAGGAACTGAGCACCTATATCATGATCTGAATTGTGCTACATCAACTCAACATATGCTAATAATCATCCAGTGAGGAAGCTTGGTATGTGGGATATACAAGCCTTCAACATCCTCTAGGAAATGTAGGAATTCTCAAAATAAAATACATGAAAAGAAAGAACACATCCTTATAAGCTTGAAAAGTGACACAGGACATCAACTTATAATATTTTTTACATAAGTCATGAAATATTCAAAAGTTAAGTACAATCAACTGCCTGCTGAGTTAGGTATGGTCAGGTATGCTAGGTTAGGTATGTTAACATTTCCTAACATAGGTACATTTCCTATGTAGGTATGTTAGGTATGTTAGGCTGTCTTGGCATTCCTGCTTACTGACTACATTTCCATTGCACAAGTTAATCTAATTTTGCAAAATGGATTTTCTTGATATCATTAAGAAATCATTTAAAAATGTAAATGTAGGATTAGGTAGTAGCTACACAGCCATCAATATCCCTACTCATTTTTTTGCAAAAGGTGAAGCAGATAGTATCCAAGAAAAACACCCGATATTTCATTAAATCACTTTAAGCATGTAGTGGGAACGTGTGCCAGTTTTGGTAGTCGTAAAGCAGGCAGCACACTTGTTTTTTACAACCAAGGAGAGGCGCTTACCCAAGAAAGCATTCTAATCAAACCAAACCAAACATGACCTAACCTTAACTACAACCTACAACCTAAAACCTACCACCTAAAACCTACAACTACACCCTAACCTACAATGCCTCTCCTTGGTTGCAAAAAAAAGTGTGACGCCTGCTTTACTACTCGTTACTACCAACCTGTTTTTTTGGGGGGTATGTGATCGCATGGACAATTTTCTAGGTCAATGTATAAATGTATGGTTTACAGAAACATGGTGTGATTTTTATTCCATTTTGAGGCCCCAGGCAGGGTAAAAAAAAGACGATATTCAGCATGAGCAGTGTGACGTTCACTGCATGCTGTCTGCTGATCATCTAGCACTTAAGAGAGTTTAAAAAGTGAAGTCAACTTTCACTGATGCATAAAAACTTAAAGACACAAATGATGACACATGCCAGGTGGGCGAGTATAAAAAAAACTATTGACGTCAGCCAGATCAAAAACCGTTATTTCATCTCTCAATCTGCCATCACGTTCACGATCAGGCTACTTGTAGCATGTTCACATGTGTACTGTAGATGTCAAACTGAAACTATTTGAGACTTACTGTTCATCGATGTACTGTGCACACCTGTGGTGGAACTATAGGAAGGCAACTATGAATCGACTCATTGTGAGCTATCACAACCTTCTTAAACGACTTATCGGGTTATCGAAATTTGAGAGTACGAGTATGACATGTGCATATTTTAGAGTGCTGAATTGTGAAAGCGTGTTCAGGAAACTTATTTATAAGTTTCTGAGAAGACTTGAACAAAGCCCCAATAGCATCATTGAAGCAATCAATTCAGGGGATCTCCGTTTCAGATCAAAACTGAGACGCTTTTGGCTCAGTAAGCTCCATTGTCATGCTGTGCTACATTGAATGTGCATCGACTGGGAGTGTGCCTTAATCGATGTTTGTTGCTCATCCATCATCCATCTGGTACATCCATCATCAACTCATAGCAATGGACTGTTAGTCTGAAATACAAATCTATCTATCTATCTATCTATCATGTGAGCGGGAGGAAAATTGAATTTATCAGTTTCTGTAACTATCTTCTAGGTAAATACTTAAAAAAATTGTAAAATTTCCCAGTTATTTACCTACCGTCCGTATTCCACTGTAGGCCTCGTGTGTGTTTTACACAACTTCCATGAAGCATGCTATGTCGCATAAGCGCCAGTTGTGTCTCAATGAAATGATGAGTAGCTTGTGACCACGAAATTATTGTTTTCCCCTCATTCATTGTATATCAATATTGGCCATCCAATAATTGACATAGATATATGATTGTTTTATGTGTGCAATATCAGGAAGAAGCTGTTTATCATTTTCCTAGCAGCTTCTTTCAATAAGTAGGGAAGCAGCGCAGGGATTATCAAGTGGCAGCTCTGCTTTTAACGTGCGTTTTTAGAAATCGTAAACGTAAAGGCATTTCACGCACAAATCACAATAGGCCAACAGGGAGAAAATTCAGAAAATTAATGGAAAAAAGACATCCGAGCATCGGCCATCAGTCGGTGAGTCTGAAGGCTGAAGCTTGCGGCATGCTTCATAAGTTAAGTGGGCTGCGAGCTGGACTGGGAGCTGGGCTGAGAGCCGAGAGCTGGAAGCTGAGCTGGGAGCTGGTCTGGGAGCCTGGCAGCTGGGCTGGGATGAGGGGAGCTGGGCTGAGAGCTGAGTTGGGAGTCGTATGATATCTACATATAACTGTCATATGAGTACGCAACAGGGAACTTTCTGGGTTTCAAGTCTTGAGCGCCGCCGAAAACATGTTTACGCAAACATGTTGACTCAACATCCTCATCGTAGCCCGAATGTTGTTGAGCAGGTCAGTAGAAATGACACATCAAATATGATCTGTGGGGCATTGCTAAAGCTCAACCGTAGCCGGTAGCTTAGAGAACGATTGGGCATCGACTTCGCGCCGTGGGGCTGGCAGCGCACCTATCAAATACGCTCGCCCAAACAGGCCGTTTGGTCTCCTCAGTCCTCGGGCACCACTATAATCTCGGTCGCCCAGTCACCGCCGGCACCTAACCAGCCACCAACACAGTCCCCACCTTCCTGACTGACCTCTCCGGCCGCGCCGTCCCGGCCATCGCTCCCGGTCGAGTTACCCCGAATGGGACACCTTGTTCAGCGGGCGGGTCGTCGGCAGGCTGCACCATCGGTCGCGCTGCGCGCTGCCAATCTCGGGCGGCGTGTTATCAATCTGCCGCCGCCGGGAAGCCGCACCAGCCGCCGTCGGAGCCGACGGGGTGGGGAGGGGGGCCGCCGGGGTCCCGCGGGAGTCGTGGAGGTCGCTACAAACGCCGGCTATTACCCGCGGCCCTGATCAGCGCCCGATTGCTGCCGGAACAAGATAGACCGTGTCTGGCCGGGACGAAGGTCATCTGTCGCCGGGCGCGCGTGGCGGCAGACGTGCGGGGGCGGGTCCCTCGGGAACCGGTCAGTGCTCCAACGCGCTGCCACGGCAATCCGAGTAGGCATTGAGACGACTTCTCAATATTTCTTATGAAACGCATCTGAGTAAAAGCATACATAACAGAACAGCTGATAGGTAAAGAAATGGCCAAATATCCCATTCGTATGCAAACAGGGAAACAGCATTGGCAACGGGAACCGATTGGACTGGTTCCGTTTCGGTTACAGCACACGGCTATGCGGCAACAAATATCGGGTTATTTATGGTAGATGCATCTAGGGAGCTAGCCCATTATCTGAATTGGTGTTCTGATTCAATGACGCAGTGTATGTCATCGACTTTAAGTTACCATAAGCAGCGAGTGACTGCACAAATGCTCTCAGTTTAGATTGCATTTGCTTTAAAATCGTATCGATAGTTTGAGGCTAACTGCAGCCGACCCGTCCGACATAGTAAGCCTAAAGATCCGGGATTGATAAACGTTCAACGGTAGAGTGTATACTGTGACATGCGGTGTAACGGAAGGTGCGGCAGACATCCACTGACTGAAGCCGTGTCGGTCTGCACGGTGGTCGAACAGGGTGCTCCGAGGGCGGGACGAGTGGTCAGTGGTCACTGTGCTGATGGACTCGGACAAAGGAGCCATTATGGTGTCCGTCCAGAGCACCTTCATACACTGGACAGACGGACCGCGGCGGTCCGACCATACGACATCGTCTGTTATGCGAACGAGTCGTTTGTAGGTGCTGACCGGACCAACCATTAGCTTGACTGACCGTCTATTTTAGTGGACCGACTGTCTGTCGAACATGAACGTGTATTTGGGATTTTGAATAGCCAGACTAGAGTTGGATCTGACCGTCTATTTTACTCGTAGTAGACCGACTGTGAGTTGGAGCTGACCGTCTGCTTTTGTAGATCGTTTGTTGGTTGGAATGGAACTGACCGTCTATTTAAGTGGCTGTCGATTGACCCTGATCGTCTATTTTAGTGGCCGGTTTGTTGGTTGGACCTGAACATCTATTTTAGTCACTGTCGGTTGGATCTGACCGTCGATTTTAGTGACTGTCGGTTGGACCTGACCGTCTATTTTAGTGGCTGCTGGTTGGACCTGACCGTTTATTTTAGTGACTGTCGGTTGGACCTGACCGTCTATTTTAATGGCCGGTTTGTTGGTTGTACCTGACCATCTATTTTAGTGACTGTCGGTTGGATCTGACCGTCTAATTTTCAGTGTCTGTCGGTTGGACCTGACCGCCTAGTTTAGTGGCCCGGCTGATGGCTGAACCTGACCATTTGTTTTAGCGAGCCAGCTTAGCTGGACCTGACCGTTTAGTTAAATGGACCGACAGCTATCTGTTGAACCTGACTGGGCCGTCTATATCGAGTGAGCCTACTGTAGGTTGGACCGAATCTTTCCTGCTGCAAAAGCTGGGCCAGTTAACAAATGAAACATCCGCTTTGGTCAATAAATGAAAACGAAGGCATGTGAGCTCAGCGGTGCACGAGTACTGCCGAACCGAACCGAAACGCCGATATCCGAAAGTCGAAACCAAGTAACGAGCCTTGCTCAACCAGGCACGTAACCAGCAAAACCAAAGCCCATATATCGTCGGACAAACGGCAATGGAGTCACAGGTGCAGCTGAGCCCCGAGGTGTCGCAGCTCTGCCGAGACAGCGCCGCGCTCGATGGCAGCGGCCGGCCCGGGGACCGGCGCGTCGGGTCGACGGTCGTTAGTTTTCTGTCTCCCGCTGATCACCCTGCCGCCGCCGCACTCTGCGGGCCGCGGTCAGAGGTGCCGACCTCCGGACAGGGCCATTTGTCCCCGGTCGGCCGGCCGCAGGTGGCCGGTGGCCGCTGCCGCTCCGGTCCAGTGACGTGGTCCGCTGTGGTCCAGTGACGTGGTCCGCTGTGGTCCGGGGCTGGTTCACCCCAGTCGTCCACTGCCGTGGTTATTTGTTATCCGGTGCTGGTCCAGGCTCGTCATCTCTGGTCCGGTGCCGCAATTCGCTCTGGTCAAGTCTGTTCCACTCTACTCTGGTTCGGGCTGGCCCGCTCTGATCCAAGAGTTGTCCCCTCCCAGAGGTTTGCGGGCGCGCTCCGAATACCGATTACGGCCGGGTGATCGGTCACGGCTGTCGGCCGGCGACGGTGAAGCTGGGAGGCCCTGACGACACCGCTGATAATGTTAGTGACACAGTCAACTGACCACTGACAACTCCTCTGACACTACTGGCCACACAATCCACTGATACCGACCAGTGAGCAGTGACCACTGGCCGGAGATCACTGGTTCTAGCCGCTGCGCCACTGCCACTAACACCCGGTGACCTACTCCAGTCCGGTCACCACGGGCAGAGCCGTGACATTGACCAGAGAACGGTCAGCCTGCGGAGCTGTATCGGGTCGGAGGTCGCCGGGGTCTCCCAGCAGCAGCAGCCGGCCGCTCGGACGCCGGCCGACCGCTGATCGGTCCGGCCTCCCGGCTGACGGCACCCCGTTAACGTTACGACAATGATGATTGAAGTGATTTTAATTGATTTCAGTCGGTAGCGGCGTTTCGATGAGAGGTCAAAAGACGTTCGGTTTTCGAGTTGAGATCCAGTTTTGACTGTTTTGAGCCTCGGAGTGATGCGAATTGCGATCTTCGTTTAGATTCTACGACAACATTCAGTACTTGGCGGCATGTATGTTTACGTTCTCGCTGTTTGATAATTAATATGAGGCAATTATTTGATTTGATTTTTTTACATACCTTTTTTACCTATTTAGGTAGGTACATTATTTTTACAGCCCAGGCATGCGCTGCGCTGGCTGCCGAGCTTTCCCGTGTCAGGTAGGGCTTGGTTTACCGATGTTTGTACGGTAAGCGTATTCCTACTTCGATTAAAAAATGGAAATAATAGATACAAGCCAGGCACGTAGCTAGGATTTGGCCAAGGGAGGGGCGGAGGAATCCCGGGGGCCTCCTTTCTACAGGGGGCCTCCTCCCTAAAGGGGCCTCCTTTCTACAGAGGGTCTCATGCCTACACAATTACATATACAACATAATGCATTTACTTTTGTTCAGCTTTCATATGGCAAGCGCACTGGTATGTTTCTTTATTCTTACCGCTGCAGGCTGCAGCGGTAAGAAACATACGCATATCACAAGTCTCCGAGTGGCATGATAACGGGCAAAAAAAAAAAAAAACTCGGGCGCCGGCGGCGGCCGGACCGCAGCAGGAGGGGGAGGATCTGCGAGGAATGGGAGGATACTGGATGACGGTCAGAGTAACACTTGGTGTATTATCATATATCGTTCAAGCGCTTAACCGTATTCCGGGCGGGCTCTGAAAGACTCTGAATCGGGCGGGGGCCTTTTCTGGCTCCCGTCAGAACTCGAAAAGCACGAATCGTAGCGACAAACGGCAAGGGCGTTTGATAGTTCGTTGAACGACTTACAACTTTTGTAAACAACTTTTTTTTGGGTCAGGTCAATATTGAGGTCGCCAGAGGTCATAACAAATAACATGGTTTATAACGACCTACATAGATAGGTCAACTTCAAAATCTAACCTAGGAAAGTCACGCTGGGTACCAATCGACGCGTCATGACCAGGCGAACGGTTTGGTACACTAACAACTATTTAGCCCCATCATGTCGTGATTTATTGGCTAAAAACTGTTGATGACCTCACCTCACCTCAGATGATCCTTCCCGGTGCTCCTGTCAGTAAATGCCACCTGGGTGCTTACAGATCAGATAATCTGACGTAATTCAGAAAGAATTGGGTGGTTTTGACTCGTTTTCTCGAAGCAGGACACAGTTCATTACCTATATTTTCCAATAGGCTTGTCACGATTCTGACCTTACTGACGTCTGCAAGATTGAAACTATACGGTTATCAATTCTTTCTGTGTGAATTATGCCACGTTTACTTGCTGTAAGTAACACATGGTTTCGTTAGTAAATTTTCCTAGGTCCAGGTGGTTTGCTTCATTTACGCCGTAGATGAAACAAACAATCGATGGATAGGTATAGGTATATTAAGTTCCCGGTCAAATAAATTATTATGAGTTGTGCGAAGCATGGCTATGGGAATATCACCACGGTCTATTAAAGGGAGATAATGAGCTTTCTTTTTTCTTAAATAAAAATTACTCGACATCTATACTATTTCTACTGTAGTTTCTATAAAATATGAAAATTTCCTAGCACATTTTCGTATGTGAAAAAGGTTTTTATTTTTGCAAAAAAGAAGCAGTACTTGCAGTACTTGTAACACCCACCGAAATGCGTTGTCCTTCTCTATAAAAAAGTCGCAGTATATGGCGCTTTTGTTTCAAACAGCGACGCTTGGGTTTTTGTTTATGTTATCGCCTTGTCGTTGCTTGGTTGTAAGGATTATAATTTGAATCAGAGTTAATTCGGTTTAGAATTAATTAGATTCTAATTCGGGGGTACATAGTGCCTACTCTTCTTTGTTTCCAACATTATTTTGCGCCACAAATGAACGGCATGCGCCAGAAACGCAGCCAAATCTTGCGATTGCGACTACGAAATTCATTATTTTGGCCTCAGAGCCTGAAGCGAAAAATACAAGCATATTTATTTCAAAAAGACTTCAGGTTTGTCGAACGGTGTTATGAGAATTTTGATAACAGTACTGCATAAGTTTTTCAGTGATGCCGCAAAAGTGTTGTAGGTATCTATCTTCTTTTATTGTGCAGTCGGCGGGACCGATTCAAAATTGAGTCGTTGCTACTAAAATAGCAGCATATGGCGACAGATGATGAACAGGAAAAATAGTTGCGTAAATTTAGACATAAACCACCCCCAAACCATGAATATCTTTTGAAGGCACTATAGACGACCATTAACTAACTAGATGTGATGAAGATCAAATGTAATGAATACGCTCATTTTACAAAATTACATGCAAGTACCAAAAAGTGATGTAAGTTCTTATTCAACGGTCATTTTCAGCGCTCCCCGCTAACGTGACTTCAAGTTGAGATATTTGCGGCAAGGTACCGAATTGAGCAAAATGGTTTTAATTTACATTATAACTTGTTGTGTTTTGTCAGAAAATGGTCCTAACTCAGATTTTGTGGAAAAAGGTCATAATCTCCCTTTAAATGGTTTGGGTAATTGCATCCATCGTAAAAATACCAACACAGCCACAGGTATATATTACAGAAATGGGCTGCTGTGTTCATGCATTAACCCGCGCCCTGCCGGGGGGTGTTAAACACCCCCCTGCAGTTTTCCGTGAATATCTAAAAAACGGCGACGCGGCACACTTTATTCTACATCATTTCTACACATGTTGTGAAAATTTCAGACCCTGGTCACTTAAGGTCAGGTCACCAGGTCAGGTCAAATGACCTCACTACATAAAAAGTTTTAATGTCTGCCAAAGGTACACGGAGTGACCAAACGCTTTGAAACTTTCAGAGATGCAAATGCACAAGAGCGACAAAATGCAAAAAATGTATGTCTTGGAATTTTGATATCGATGACATAAGGTCAGGTCAATTTTGCGACCTTAAATTGAAAGTCGCCTTTTTAGACGGAAGTCATTATAAACACTCTAAAACACTGAATTACTAGTATCTTTGACACATTGAACATGAAAATGGCACCCGTGACCCTTTCTATAACCCTGAGGTCATCTCAGGTCACGAATGGTATCTGACTGTTTTTCGCGAATAACTTTTGATAGAGGTATGCTAGAGCGATGAATACACCTTAGTTGTGTTTGGCTCGACGATACGGATGGACTGATATGGATCTTAGCCCTTATCGGTCAGGTCATGACCTTGACCTGAGGCCAAATTTTCAAGTTGACCTTTCAAGGTCAATTCATAGTTCATTCCACACGTCTGGACGAGAGGAACACGATGCTGGTAAAGGGAAGTTCGTGCAAATTTTGAGACGAAAGTTATCGCCGAAAACTGGTTTCCGAAAATATCGGCCATTTTGGCAGTTTTTGCGGCCACTGCAGGTAAAACCGTTGACGGGAAAACCGCTGACGGCACGCGGCATGATTTCTCTGAGCGCATTTATACAAATAATTTGTCTACATAGACGTAATGACATGATGTGGAGATGGAATTAAATTGATGAAATACTAGGACTTACTCCACAAGGAGATCGAATGGGTCGGAGCGCTTTCAATATGTATTATACATATCGTCGTCAGCGAATCAATAACGGGTCGAATCGAGTCGGGTATCGAAGAGGTTCGGGAGCTGCGCGGCAGAGCGATCACATACTATAGTATGTGTACTATAGTATATCACATACTATAATATGCGCGGCAGAGCGATCACATACTATAGTATGTGATCGCTCTGCCGCGCAGCTCCCGAACCTCTTCGATACCCGACTCGATTCGACCCGTTATTGATTCGCTGACGACGATATGTATAATACATATTGAAAGCGCTCCGACCCATTCGATCTCCTTGTGGAGTAAGTCCTAGTATTTCATCAATTGTCTACATAGAATAGGGCCTTCTGTTTACAGAGGACCTCCTCCCCTGTCCCTTCCTACAGTGGGCGGCGACGCGGTTGGGAGTCTATTCTGTACAGTTTCCTGAGTTCTCAGTTTTCACTATAGTGAGAACTGATAACTCTCTATAGAGAGTAGCAGGGACCAGAAGCCAGAAGGTAATTTGCTCACAGTGGGCCTCCACTCTATGTACTTAATATACGACGCTGTCTTTGACTACCGGGGGCCTCCTGCCCACAGAGGGCCTCTTATCTACAGAGGGCTTCCTCTCTACAGATTGCCTCTTATCTACAGAGGGCCTCCTCTCTGCTGAGGGTGTCTCTCTCTCTCCAGAGGGCCTCCTTTACAGAGGGTATCCTCTCTACAGAGGGCCTCCTCTCTAGTCTCTACAGGGACCTCCTCTCTACAGAGGGCTTCCTATCTATGTAGGGCCTCCTCTCTTCAGTCTCGTCTCTACACAGGACCTCCTCTATACAGAGGACCTCATCTCTGCAAAGGGCCTCCTCTCTTCAGAGGGCCTTCACTCTACAGAGGGCCTCCTTCCCACAGAGGACCTCCTTTCTACTGAGGGAATCCTCCTCTACAGAGGGCCTCCTCTCTTCAGACGATCTCCTCTCTACAGAGGGCCTCCTCTCTTCAGAGGGCCTTCTGATTTCAGACGGTTTCTTCTTTACAGAGGGCCTCCTTTTTACAGAGGGCCTCCTTTTTGCAGAGGGCCTCCTCTCTACAGGGGGTCTCCTCTCTAAGGGGGCCTCCTCTCTACAGAGGGCCTCCTACCCACAGAGGGCCTCCTGTCTACTGAGGAGTCAGAGGGGCCCTAGCGGTCAGACACAGACACTAGTGGTTATTCACAGGAGATGAGAAGGGCCCTAGCTGTCACTTGTCAGGCTGGTCAGAGGGCCCTGATTGTTCTGACGTCATTTTTTAGATTCCCGCGTGAATTTCGTTCGCCTCCGACGTGATTTTGGCCAACGTGGGCCTTCGGCCCACGTTGGATTCAGGCCGAAAGGATTCAGGCCAACGTGGGCCTTCGGCCCACGTTGGCCTGAATCCTTTCGGGGGGCCTCCTGAAAACCCCAAGGGAGGGGCGGGCGCCCCCTCCGCCCCCCCTTGGCTACGTCCCTGATACAAGCATGCTTACGTTAACTCATCACCGGTTAAAAAATGAAAATGTTCTTACGAATGTCTCGCTAGACGTAGGACGGTACTGGTAGTCGGTACTCGGTAACCAATCCTGTATTCCCCGTTCAACACCGCTTCGATACGGCCAAAATAAAAATCAAAAGCCAAGGCTTTCTTTCTTTTCTTTTTCAATTTGCTATGCATTAACATTCCAAACATTCACCCATTACCACTCCGAGCACCCTAAGTAAAATAGTTCTCTCGCCCGCCAAGAGATGGCAGCTGGCGCGCGTATCGCCCAAGGCGGTGTCGGGCAGCGCCGCCGGCGGCAGTTTGCCGCCGTCTGCTGGCGCGTGGTGGCCGTGGAGGGGCGTGCGGTCGTACGGAGATATCGCGGTGTTTGTGGCGAGTGTCCCGTGTTTTCCGACAGCACTGCCACCGGCCGAGTGTCCGGAGTGTGGAGTGTGGAGTTGCGGGGCGCGGAGTCTGACGAGTGACGGCGATCCGCAGTGGCGCGGGTCGCCGGGGGTCGCGCGGCGGCACTGAGCGGGATGTGAGGGCGCGGAGGACGGGCCCGCCGGCGTGGCTCCTCGCGGGCTGTGTGGACGATGAGAGCAGTCACAGGGCGCGACATCGTCACCATTCTGCTGCTGGTTCAAGGTAGGTCACCCGGCTGTGGTATAACCCACTCCAATCCAGAATTGAACTTCAGCAACGACTCCGCGGTCGTAACGCATTGTGCAATGTGCAATGTAGGCATAGGTATGAATCTGAGCGTAGGGTCTCATGACTTATGGCCTATGGGCTCTCATCTCATAGAAATTTCAGGCAAACAGCAGGTTGGGATCTTGGTATGATCATAGCCTTGGTATGATCCCATGGCCCATGGGATTAAACGTGGCGGTGGAAAATCTATCAAATATCTGATAAAATCCGAGGATATATCTTTGAAAACAAAGTTAAGTTTTTAAGTTTTTATCTAGGCATATGGATCCCCCGAAATGCAACATGTGGACCCCTCATTCGAGGTGATTATTAATTAGATTCCTATCGATGCCACAAGACGGTGATTGTGTGCAAGGGATCACGTTGGATCATTTAACACAGTGGCGGATCCAGGGGGGGGGGGGGCAAAATGGGCATTTGCCCCCCCAAACGGCATGATTTTAACATTACGCCTATGGACGATGCATGGAAAGAATCGATAAATTTTTATGGTTTGCCCCCCCCCCCCCAAACCTCTGAGCTGGATCCGCCTCTGATTTAACAGAGCAATGGAAATTTCGGTGAATAATGCTCCTAAACCGAAACTCGCATATTTGCCTCAATTAAAAATGTTCCATTGTTCTCAGATCCATGCAATGCTTGGTCGCAACGTTGTCACAGTTCCCCCAGAGTTCGGGCCAAATGTGACGACGTGTTGACGGCGTGTTGATTTGACCAGTCGTGTGCATTCCGTGCACCGCGCCACCGTGCACTGCAATGGCCGGCACGGATGCGAGTGACGCGGGTTACTGGTGGGGCGCAGTCTCATCGCACGGATTGCTGGTGGGACGGATTGCGGATGGCGCGGACTGCAGGACTGCGGACTGCCGATGGTAGGTACGGACAGCCGGCGTCGAATTCCGCTGCCAGCCGGCGCTCCGGCTGACTGATGGAGGCAGCCGGCGACGGCCGCCCTCCGCGCGGCTCCCGCAGAAAATCACGGCACCGCCACTATCCGGAGCCCTGCTGACGCGTCGCCAGCGGCACAAATCATCAGACGCCGCAGGATGGGAAATCTTTCGAGCCGCGCTATTTCAGAGCCGAAGATCCTTCGAACTGGTAATCTTGTCGCTATTCATCACAATGTTTTGGAAGTTGGAAGCACTATGAATGGCAGATATAGTGAGTCGGACGTTATCGTCGATTGATTGGGGCCCGGCGGGCGGACATACGGCAGTCGTCACTCGCGATGGAGCACCGCCCTCCTCCAATCTGTCGGCGGTGTTTTTACAGAAAACAGCGCGGCGTTTACATAGTCGGTGTAACGCAAGGCTGATGTGGCCAGCTGATGGTGGTGTGATAACTGAGCATTGGTGTGTTCACTGCCGATTGAGATTAACGACTAATCGGCTTCGGGACTCGGGAGCAGTAGCGGCGGAACACCTTCAATTAAGAGGGGGGGGGGGGGGGGCACTGCCGACTTCTGGTCCCATTCTTTCCATGCAACGCCCATAGGGCTAATGCTAAAATGCCAAAATCAAAGGGGGCACGGCGCCCCGGTGCCGTGCCCGTTCCGCCTGTATGCTCGGGAGCACGTGATGGATGCACGAGAGTGGCTAGGCTGACCAACAAAAACATGCTAGTGAAAGTTCTTTAATTCTTGCAGTCCAAAGAGGTTCAATCATGGAAATAGAAGTTTTGTTTCTTTTGGTGATAACATCTCCAGTCCTTAGCATTCGATTATATTTTATATAATTTCGTAAAATGACAAAAAGCAAAAATAATGTCGGATTGTTAAGTAGTTGCTCAACCCTTCCTGTCTTCGCCCCACATCCCGTTTCCTGTGCGGTATCGTTACTCCCTTCCCGTGCCGTCCGTCCGCCGGTCGTCTCCGGCTGTCTCCGTCCGTGACCTGTCTCCGTGGTCGGTCGTCTCCGCGGTCGGCGGTGTCAGCTGTGCCGTGCCCTCCTCCGCCCCGTGGCGACCTGCCGCGGTCGGCTGCCGTCCCCACCGGACCGGTTCCGACGGACGGAGCGCGGCTGGTGGTGCCGTGACGAGCAGTGAGCGCCCCCGCCGTCCGCCGTCCGCCGGCTGAGTGGTGTGTCCGCCACCGGACCCCGAGAGCACCAGCCGCGTCCCGCGCCGCTGACAGGGCTCACAGGAGGGGCTGCGCTCACCTCTGTCCCCCCCCTCCCCCCGGGGCGCTAAATTTAGGGACGGTTCGCGGCGAGCCACTGCCGCAGTGACACATTCCGCCGGCTGAGCGACCGCGCCGCTGTGCTCCCTGGCGCTCACCGACCGGGCCGCTGTGCTCTCTGGCGCTCACCGACCGGGCCGCAGCCGCTGTGCTCTCTGGCTCTCACCGACCGGGCCGCTGTGCTCTCTGGCTCTCACCGACCGCGCCGCTGTGCTCCCTGGCGCTCACCGACCGGGCCGCTGTGCTCTCTGGCGCTCACCGACCGGGCCGTTGTGCTCTGTGGCGCTCACCGACCGGGCCGCTGTGCTCTCTGGCGCTCACCGACCAGGCCGCTGTGCTCCCTGGCGCTCACCGACCGGGCCGCTGTGCTCTGTGGCGCTGAGCGGCCGGGCCGCTGTGCTCTCCATTTTTACAAAGACTTAACTCACTAAGCAAGAGTTGTGAAATGGGGAAAATATGTCGAAAAAATACCTTTAAAGCATTATTTTTCAACAGAACGTGTAAAATGAATAAAATATGTCCACTTCAACTCAATACTGTTAGGTACTTATTAGCAAGCTGAAGCCAGAAACGCACCAGTTACTTCTGCAATAATAAGGGAATTAAGAAAACGGACTAGTCTGCTATCGTCCCCCGGACATAAAGCTTCAGTATTGCAGTCGTTGAATATGCATGTTATTGCAGAACGGAGCATCAGGCGATCGAAGGAACCGCTTCATTGAATTTATGCAAACAAGTAGATTGAAACCGTTCCGGTTAAGAATTTACATTCGGTTTTCGGATTTCACTCTGTGTTTGTTGTCGGCTTATTTGCATGCCATTTTCATAAAGAGGCCAATTGGTTTCCCTGCGAAGTTCAAGCATCGGTCACATATTTCCAGGCCACCATATAGTGGTCGCATCGGTTCGGCTTTACGTTTGGATGCATAGGGGAGAGCGGGGTCAAATGTAACACGGGGCAATTGTAACAGTGTTAATAATTCATAAACTTACCAATAGAATGCGCTAATGTTAAGACCGAAAATGCGTAATTCTATACTGCCTTTCCCAACGGAGTTTGAAGCGAAAGCGCCGGGTATGTCGATGGCTGTGCACAGTAATGTGTTTTTGAGTGCATTTTATAAATTTTTATACCGTTATATTTGATTAGCTCATTCCCGCCATTGAAAAGATATCGACTTCAGACCTTGTGTAAGCGTTGGCAGGCTTGTTGTGCATAAATTGAAAGCATTAAATGCTGTACATGCAACATCTTTATGCGCCAGTTTCGTCTAAAATATGTCAAGGCGCGACGGGGACAATTGTAACATTTTTGCAGGGGTCAAATGTAACAGGTTATAGGTCAGTGGCCATTATGTCAAAGTCGTCAAATTTTCAAGGGAGATGAAACATTGCTAGAATTAAGAGAGCTGTAAGTTTTGTCGCAATCGGCAGCTTTTTACGCGATTTATTTGCGAAAAACCGAGGGAGAGGAGGTCCATCCAACCCCTGTATAAGTGCGAGGTTTTAAGCCTTTTTTCCTGAGAAGAACCGTCTCTACCAAGTCTGGGAAGATGAACAAGTGTTCAATACTTTTGTTAAATCAAAGTTTTGGGAAAAATTGTGTTGCTGTAGCCTGTAAATTAGCATGTTACAATTGTCCCCGGGTGGTGTTACCTTTGACCCCGTATCTGGGGTGAATTGTAACAGATGAGTTGACTTTTTCGGACAACAATTTTGACCCAAAAAATAAGTTATTTCGGAAATGTTTTAACAGCATTTTAAAGACAAAACATCATAGTTTCTGAAAATAAAAGAAAGAGTTTTATAACTGCAAACGTGTTTGCACCAGATGATAAAATGCAAAAAATGTTACAATTGACCCCGTTCTCCCCTACCTACCAGCTTGGATTTTCATACACTGAAAGCATATTTTCCTCATTCCTTTCATGTCAGCTACATTAAATCCGAATTCGGATGCTTCGTTCACTATGTTTGGTATGAACGGCTGTCATTTCAAGCTTGCATCGCGATGATTCACCTTCTGAGATTTAAGTCTAACTCTACAAATATGGGAAATAACTAGAATGTTACACAGATAGAAAATCGAGAACTAGGCCCGCTGCGCTGTTATCATGAACACAAGATCCGTCATGCATATAACTATGTATATCGAGCAAAGCTTTGCCCAGAGCGCATATTTGCTCGCCAAAGGAGCCTCTCTCCTAACACGAGGTTAGACCCGCTTTTCGTCAGAGCCCGGAGAGGCATCAAACACTCCCAGGTCTAATTCTGGCCATCGCCAGATCTTTCGTCCGTACGGTGGCGTCACTAATTAGCGGGAGCATAAATATATCATTATATTACTCATCCCCGGGGCCAAAAATACACGGTGGCGCCTGGAATAGGGCCCGGTGAGCGGTCGGAGGTGCCTGCTAACGACTGGAGGCGGGGCTCGGTCCGAGAATAGATCAGTGATCTCCGCGTCTGACGGGTGGTCATCAGTCAGGGTGATCACACTATCTGACACCACACACGCCTGAGGCATCAGACACACCCAGCACACCTGCAGCACATCAGACACACCCAGCACACCTGCAGCACATCAGACACACCCAGCACACCTGCAGCACATCAGACACACCCAGCACACCTGCAGCACATCAGACACACCCAGCACACCTGCAGCACATCAGACACACCCAGCACACCTGCAGCACATCAGACACACCCAGCACACCTGCAGCACATCAGACACACCCAGCACACCTGCAGCACA